CCTGCTGGCTGCTTAAAGAACTTGATAGAGTGTCCAAAGATGAGTATGTCTGATAAGGCTATAGGAAAATGAGAAAAAAAACAAGGAGTAGGTCTGTTAAGTTAATTGATCATTATATTCAGCTGTGAGTTTCCTAGAATCAAGGCAGGAGGAAGACAAACCAAGTTACATTATTCTTGTCAGAAGAGAAGGAAGCATAATGAGTTTTTTAAAAAGAAGAAAGCTTCTTTCTGGGATTGAATTGTGAAATAACTATATTTCTAAAGGACGATGCCTTCAGTGAGTTTTTCATCAAATTCAAACCTGCTCTAAATATGTTTCAGTAAAATGCAAGGAGTTTCAGTAAAATGCAAGGAGCTTAATACTAAAGCACATCTCAGAGTTCAGGTGTGTCACTTCCTGTGATGAATCTGAAGCTAGGTTAATACATGGAAGGCCTAGAAGAATGGGGATGAGTATGTAAGTGTGTATATACGAGGCAGGTACTCACAGAACCTATGCATAGATAACCACAGAGCTACTCAATTCAACAAACATTTGTCAAAGTCCTATAGGGCACTGGCTGTTGAAGGTATAGGTTCCTGTTCTTAAGAGGCTATTTATTCATTGCTTACTCCAGCTGCTACTTTTTCTAGAGCTGCAGATCTAGAAAAGTCCATCAAACAAACAAAAACAACAAAAAACCCCACACCAGGTCAGGTGTCCTGGTTTATCTGAAGTGTCCTTATTTGAAATAAAAGAGAGCAAACACAAACAACTAAGAATTAGAATTATCATGGTGTAACAGAGGTGATAGCTACATTGAATTGTTGAGGAAGGCCTGCGACCTGGACTCTGTTGGCCCAGCTGTGATCTGGCTGCAGAACCAGCACTTAAAAGCCTTGAGTTCTATTCTGATATTCAGTAATCTCACTTTTTTTTTTTTTTTTCTCTCTCTCAGCTTAGATTAAGCTTCTTATGTGTCCCTCGGTGCCTATCTCAAGGCTAATCCAGCTTTGGTCTTCCAGTGGCAAGATGGCTTGGAGGACTTCTTTCTAGGGACAGAAGTTTCTGGATGACTAGAGTCAGGGGTGCTGTAGGGGGGACCCCAGGGTCAGCTGGAGGCTAGAAGAAATGGCCCTTGAGGACTCTCTGTCCTGAGAGTCTATGATTCCAAAAATCCAGGCCCAATTCCTATCACCAGGGACTTGCTGAGGTTATGGCAGGAGCCCAGCATGCCAGAGCTGGACGGGACCTCAGGCTCCTCCCTCCAGTTCTCCTCTGGAGAAACTGAGGCCCGGGAGGGACTGCCCTTCTAGACAGTGGCTCAGTCAAATCACGCCCGTTGTTAGTTACAGTGAGCACTTTGGGAGCATCTTTTGTGTGCCCAGGACTGTGCGAGGTGACATAAGGGGTAGCAGAAAGCTAGTGCCCTGTAAAGAACCTTTACAACCTTTTATGGTAGAAAGTCATGCCCCCAAATTCAAGAAGGCCTACAAACTGTATCCGAACAAAGTGAGCAAATGATTTGTGAGGACAGAGGCTGGTTAATCCAAGCATCCTGGTGGGTGTGGGCATGAGTCAGCCTTTCAAGGAAGAGATAGGTTGTGTGGGAGGTCAGGAGGCCTTCCTGGCAGGGGTGCTGGTGTAGGCAAAGGCAAGGTGGTAGGACCCATTATGCAGGATAGGAGAGACAGAAAGTTCCGAAAGGATTGAGGAACTATTACTGGGAGTTACACCTGGATGGAAAAACAGGAGCTCCCAGAGGAGGGAGGGAAGGACATTCCAAGCAGAGGGAACAACATGGGCAAAGGCAGGACGATGAACAGGTATATGGGGTGTTCACAGGAAGGGGGCTGGGTAGGTGTGGGAGGCTGTGAGCCAAAGGCCTTTAACGCCAAGCTCAGGAGTTTGGTGAGGAAAGCAGGTGGGAAGTGGGACCATGGCAGTTTTCTGGGCAGGAATGACAGGTGATTAAAATGGGCCTCTGAGTTACCCCATGGAACTGTGCAGCTATTCCCTTGAGGTTTCCCACAGAAGGATTTAGAGCAGAATCATCTAGGTGACTACACGCAACAGAGTACTAGTCGGTGAAGTAGGACATCTAGCTTTAAAAGCAAATTTGCACCATCCGCTAATTTTTGTGAAAGAAACACTTCTGATTCTGATGGTGCACCAGCGTCCTCCTGCAAAAGAGAAATCCTGACTTTCTTTCCAACACAGTATTTTCATCCTGCTCTTCATGCTCTGATGAAGCAGACAGGCTTCCATGTTTCTCAGCTGAAAATGTTTGTCATGAAAGCCTCCCACTGGCCCCGGTCCAGCCACCGTGGTTGTTACTGTGTCTGCTGCTGCAGCCTGGCAGCAGCAGGCAAGCTCCGTGTGGACGAGAGCGGGCCTCTCCGATTTCCTTCTCACTCCAGCCTACCTCTGTGCTGGCTTCTGGCCCATTGCCGGGTCTGCAGGACCTGGGCTTTGCTTACCTGTGAGGCAGGTGGGCTCTTCCTTGGGAGACATTTAATCCCTAAGGCCATGGGTCAGCCCTGCCCAGGACCCATCCTGAATGGCATGTCTTTGGTCCTTCCCAGCCATTGCCCTGGGCTCTTAACAGAATGTTCTATGGGAGAGAGGGGGGTGCCAGGGTGAGGGGGGTGTCAGGAAGGAGCCGAGGACCCCCATCTCTCTTTTCCCATGGTGACACCTCAGACGACTCCTATCTCCACACTATTTATAGCTGAGAGCCAGGCTGGCACTCAGGTCCTGTAAATCTGCCACTGAAGCTCTCTTCACTTAATGAAATCTGAATTGCAGCCTCCAGGTTAAGACAGTTGTGTGGTAGAGTAACATGTTTAAAAGCAGAAAACATCCCTTCCTGGGAAAGTCACTTTTTTACTATACTCTCAAGGAAGACCTTTCTAACAGGCACCCCAGACACAGCACATACACCCCAAATCAATTTCATCATCTTCCCCCAAAACCATCTTGGGAAAGGGCACTACTTTCCTCACAGCCATTCAAGCCAGAAATCTCTACCTCTCTCTATGCACTACCCCCAGCCCAGCCAGCCACCTCCTCACCAGCCACCTTGCCCTGCCCTTTGTCAAGCCCTCATCACATTTACCGGGGCATCCTGAAACGTCCTCGGGCCCTGCAGCTCCTCTAGCTCCTCCAGGGCGGGCATCTCACGCAGTGCTCATCCCAAAGCTTCTCCCACCACTCTGCTTAGAACCCTTTCTGTGTTCCCGCTGCTCTCAGGTTAAACTCCTTGTCAAGGCTTCTAAGTCCCTTAGTAACCATAGCTGATACTTACATGGCACTTACTGCGTGCCAGGCCTGCTCTGAACACTTCAATCTTACTAACTCCTGTATCGTTCCCAACAATCAGTTGAGGCAGGTGCTGTCGTCATCCCCATCCTACAGTAAGGAGACAGAGGCCTAGAGAAGTAGGTAAGGTTACCCCGCTGTCCATGGGCGGAAGTGGGACTTGTCCCAGCAGTCTGGGCCCAGAGCCTGTGCTCTCCACCTCCTCTCTGGGTGAGGCCCTGCCAGACTCATCTCTTGACACCCCAACAAGCCATCCTCTTGCCCTACTGGTAACAACCGGTCCAGGTAGCTGGAGTGCCTCCCAGTGACCCAGGCAAAAGCCTCCCTTTAGAGGACTGTTACTCCTAATGCTCCTCGTACTTTCCTGCCGTCTATCCCTTTATCGTTTAAGATTCAGTGTACAACTTACCCGCCGTCCTTGGAGAATCTGGCCACTTCGTTCATTGTGCCTCTCATACTTGATAGAGATCTACCAGGGTACTTGTGATGTTTTATCAGATTTCTTGTAGGTATATCTTGGTCCGCTGTTAATCTTTATTTCTGGTACCTGTGCTTGGCACATCATAGCGCTCAGTCAATGCTGTTGAATATAAAATGCTCCCCAAAGACATGATGGAGGTGTAAAGCTTGGTGGGAAGTGTTGGAGGGAGCTCAGGCCTCAAATGGGGCTTGGTCCAGATGACTCGAGATTCCTTCCGGCTCTGACAATAAACGAGTCTCTGGCAGTTGCAATGATAAGCAACGTGGAGGAGTTTGCTTTAGTGAATGTAAAAAGCAGGTTGATTTGGAGGATATTGGGAGACCTGGCTTCTGCTCCCAGTTGCGTCTCTTATTCACTGTGACTTGAGGCAAGTTACTTCCCTCCTGGCCTCAATTTCCTTCATTATTAAAATGGAAAGAAAAAAAGAAAACCTGAATAAGTGTGTGCCTCTCCCTTCTCCCCATCCAGTCCCTGCAAAAGCCAGTGGCAGCGGAACCCTGCACAGGTGCAGCCCAGTGTGCATACTGAGGGCAGGTAGGGGGAGACAGCGCGGGATCCTCTTCTGTACCTTGAGCCACGAGCTGGGGACTCAGGTTCCTGGCTCTGCCACTTGCTCTCAGGGACCCTGGCTCCCTTCTTTTCTCCAGGGGAAAGGAGCTAGTCCTCCTTGTGAGAACCAGATGAGATGTGGGTATGTAAAGCCTACATAGATAGGGCCGGATTGTACTGAGGGAGGCGCTGGACCGAGGCCCCAGATGAGTCACAAGCCTTGGTTCCGTCTGGTACCGGCTTTATTATTTTGTCCCCTGCCATACTTTCCTCATCCATAACATGGCAATGGTGACAACACTGACACTCCAGAATTGTTGGAGGGGCTCCAATGAGGGGTTGAGTGCAAAAGGGGTGTAATGCTTGTTCAGCTAATGTGTGAAGCCTGGCTCATGTAAACCCTCTGGTCACTCTGGGCAAACTTCTGCTCTTTGGGCTTTGGTTTTTGTTCCCCCCATCTTTCCCCAAGCTGTTGGACATTCTGATGGTCTCCAGAAATCTGGCCAGACACACTGTCTTCTCTCCAGGAGACTGCCCACTGATTTGCATTCATTGTTCTTTCGAGGCAGGTGGAGGGGAGGGGAGGAGCTCAGGCAAAGGCTAAACTCTAGGCCCCAGACTGGGCAGCCTGTGTGCCCCTGCGCCCCTCCACGCCAGCGCTTAGCCTCAGTTCGGTTCTTGTTGCAGCCTGTGAGCATCTATCTGAGGTCTGCCTGCTCAGCTCAGGAACTGGAAGACATCTAAGTATAGACAGACTTTTTTCCTCTCGCAATAGCTTCCTGTCTCTGCCACACCGGCAGCCCCCTTGACTGCCACCTATGGGCTCCACAGTCGTTGACCAACCTTTCTCTTGTGGCTGATCTAGCTTGCTGCTTGGTTTTCATCTGCAGACACTATAATTTGTTTCGAACCCTTTCCCTTTGCCATAACAAAGGGAGCCCTACCTGGCCCTCCAACCATCCCCGCCATCCTGTCAGCTAATGACCCCAGCCTGCAACCCCCTGGCTCATGCTTTACATTTAACTACTTTGTTATGTGGACAGTGTTTGGGCTTATATTGTCTTGCCCCTGGGAAAATGTCAAGGTTGACCATAAAGGGACACAGATAATACAGGGTAATCTTCAGGGCAGACACTGTTGTTTACACAGGCAGGCCAAGAGCTTTGAGGAAGAGTTGGGGGAAATGTTTCCAGCAGGTTAAGATCTCATTAAGATCGACTGAACTTAAATCTTATCTGACCGGAGTGAGGATCTTCAGCCTCTGTACACAAAGGACAACAGCGGAGTTGGATAAAGTGGGTTTTATACCTGTATGGCCAGCGATTTAGAAGTACTTTATGAACGAATCTACACCACTACAGACCCTCCTCTCAGTGAAGGCTCACAAGCTGTCCTTTAAAAACACCAGACATCAGAGTTTGCTGAGCAAAGTTGTCAAGAAGCTTCCTGGCACTCTCAGAGCCACGGTGGTGGTTCGGGTGCACAGGGACAGCTGGCTCACGTCTCATCTCCATTCCTTTCCAGTGAGGAAGAGGAGGCTGGCGGACTTGACTGGGCCCATCATTCCCAAGTGCCGGAGTGGCGTCTAGTGTGTGCGAGTGCCGACCACGCCTTTGAACTGGACGTGTTCTACTGATAGCCGTGCTCTGCAGTGGAAACCGGAAGGCAAATGCCGGCACAAACCCTGTTGTGGTTCAGTTCTTTACGCACTAAGGTGTTAGGTTCGCTAGTGGTTGTAGTTGAAAATTTTATAAACTATGGTGAATGTGAAGTTTTTCTTTAGTCACAGAAGTTCGGTCTGGTTATTATTTAAAAACTAAAAAGCCCCCGAACTGGCAGACCTCACTGAAGACAATGTTAGAGCAGCAGTGACTTAACCCCAGGAGCCCAGTTTTGGTGACCTTGCTGTGTGGTGTTTCAGGTATATTTAAAATGTGTAACATGAACAAACAGCACCCTCTTCCATGTGGTTTAAAAGCATTATAAAATATTTTATTACAAATTTGATCTTAGCTCTTTAGCAAACAGAACATATCATTCTTTATTAATTCTCCTTTAAATCTCAAGAACCTCAAGATTAAAGTTGCTAAATTGATTTCTGGATCAAGAACACAATTTTTTTCCCCTCAAGAAAGACAAAAAGACTGAAGCCACAGAGCTCTGCCAGGAATCAAAGAACATGAGATTCCTTAAGCTGGTTATGAGGAAATGATAGAAAAAGCCAATGGTGAAGTCTCAAATTTTAAAAACCGTCCTTTTTTTTTTTTTAAACCAATTCCAGGCGACAAACATTTCCCTGGTGTTCTTTATGAACATCTGGGATTTATTTACAATTTAATACTGGAGTCAGAAAGAATTTTTTCCTTATCGAAGGCCAACCTTACGATGGATGTGAAAACCTATGGCCAAATACTTGAAAACACCTTTCTCTGTTGCAAAGTGGGCCAATGCCTTATGTGAGGCACATCACTAGAGAGACAAATTTCTAGTCCATCATGGCTTATGCTTACAGACTTCAACTACCTATTGCATCACTTCTTAGACAAGTCACCGCTGATCTCATGCCTGTAAATTAAGCCTCCAAAGGTCAGTGGTGAAGAAAATCTAGATATTTAAGAACTAGGAAACCTGGCCAAACCACTCAAGATGATTATTCTGAAAATGTAATTTTGGCATTTCTGCCGGATCCCTTAACATCACGTGCATCTCTTAGGATCCAGCAAAAATGTTAAGCCACACTGCCCTTGTGCCTTTTAATATACCACGGTGCCAGTTAAACTAGTATTTCTGTTGCTTGGGGAGTTATTTTCGTGAGTGATTCAGCAAATCTTATGATAAAGGACAAGCCAAAGAGCTGACGAGCACAGACTAAGCTGCAGAGCACTGAGCAGAGAGGCTTTTGGCGAAAAAGGAAAAGTCTTGCACACGGAACTGTAATGATGGGACAGTACAGGGTAACCAGAGGTGGAGCCAGGGCCTCACCACTATGGAGGAGTGTCTACTGAGGCTGCAGATGGGCCCAGGAGTGGCTCCATGCTGCAGGAACGGCCAGCCCCACTCGGCTTCTCTTTGAAACACAATTGCAGCTGTATTCTGCATCAATGGAAACTGCAATATAATATTAAATCTGTTGGTCTAAGAATGGCTGTGCATGTGTTTCTTGGGACTTGTGGGCCAGGGACATGTGCCTGACATGGTGGCTAGAGGCTGGGAAAACACCACAGCAGTGCTGAATAACCTCACACAGAATGTCTTGTATTCTGAGGTGTTCACCTAAAAACTACTGCCCAAGTGTCAGTGTCATCGAGCTACTGTGATTCTCTCAAAGAGAGTACTTCAGAGCTAAGAGTGTGGGTGTTGGGGAAAGCAGAGGAAATCTCTCACAGAAACCAAACCAATGAAACATGAAGGTGGACCACATCTTTAAGACCATCTCCTCCATCAGAGGAGCTGTTGGTCTAGACTAGGGGTGGCAAATTTTTTTCTGCAAAGGGCCAGATAATACAGGCACACCTTTTTTTGTTGTGCTTCGCAGATATTTCGGTTTTTACAAAATGAAGGTTTGTGGCAACCCTGCATTGTCAGATGATAGTTAGCATTTTTTAGCAATAAAATTTTTAAATTAGGTTATGCACATTGTTCTTTTAGACATAATGCTATTGCACACTTAATAGACTACAGTATAATGTAAGCATAAGTTTTATATGCACTAAGAAACCAAAAAATTCACGTGACTCACTTCATTGCGGTGGTTTGGAATTGAATCCACAACAATCTCCAAGGTACGCCTGGAAATACTGCAGCTTTTGCAGGCCATGTCTCTCTTGTAAATACTTAATTCTGCCATAGGTCATATGTAAATGAATGGGTGTGGCTATTCCAATAAAACTTTATTTACAGAAGGAGGTGGGCCAAATGCCATAGTTTTCAGATCCTGGTCTAGTGCTCTGAGGCTAGCAGAGAAGAGAGAAGGGTAGGGGTGGATGGCAGATTAACCTAAGGGGCCTGGTTCCGAGGAGTCCACTTCCAGGGCCACAGCTTTCACATTCTGCCATCAGGACAGACAGGTTTGCTGATAAGAAACATGACTACTCCCAGCCCTACTGCATGGCACAGAAAGGGCATGACCTGGTCACCAGGCTCAAGGCCCTCTCCCTCAGCAGCTCTGGAATCCTACACAGCTCACCTTTTTCTGTGCTCTAGCATCTTCTGAGTCAGAATGTCTCTGGTAAGAGGTCAGCACCCAATTCCCTCTTCCCTCCTCTCCTGAAAGACAGGTGGCCAACATGGTGACCAGTTGGCCATGGTGGCTCTGGCAGCACTAAAGTTCCCTGTTTCTCTGCTGGAACAGCCCTAATATTCTCCAGTACATGGTCGCCCCAAACCTAGCTCTGTGAAGGATTGGGGAAAGGCAGATGGGGCCGCTCATGTAAGCATGGCCCATCCTCATCATCACCTGGCCTGGGCCCCGGCCTCGCAGGGAGTCGCCCCTGCTGTAAGAGCTCCCTGGGTACGCGTAGCCGTCGGGATGTACACTCGCATTCCTCTTTAAAGCTGCTCTGGGTTGGGCTTGCAGCCTGCCTGCTCCCTTTGTCTTGACACGTGACACAACAGGCTGTGAATCCTTGTCCTTGGCAGGCAGGGCAGGTCAAGACGAGCTGGCGGCACTGGGGAGTGGAGCACAGTTTATACTGGTCCCATGGGGCCCCACAGTATGAACATTCTGGGGAAGAAAGAAAAGCCTTGTTATAAAGACACATGAGCACACACGTGTACACACAACAGATGTGTACACACACACACACACACACGTACGTACATGCACACGCAGACGGAATTCTCCAGTTCCTAAATATAACCCTTAGCTCATCAGCATCTAATGTATCCTTTTGGGTCTGAGGAAGGTTTCTAAATAGTGTAAGTCTCCTGTCTTCTAACAGACAAGGTTCCCCCACTCCCACCTTTTTGCGGGGAGGTTGCTTCTGGGAATTGTCTTCTGATTCCAGCATTCATTGACCCATTTTTCTTTTTCTCATTTAGAAAACAGGTAGTAACGTTTCTCTCTTTCATTCACTAGTCCAAAGCTGGCCAACCACCCTTTGTTGAATGGTCTTTTTCCTTTAGATCATTCCCTTTTGCACTGGAGACAACACGCCTGAATACAGATAATCCCACATTGACATTTGGCTTCTGCAGTCCACACTCCTCTTCCCCAGGCCTGAGGTTCTCCTGCTTTTGCCAGAGGACACTTGGCCACACAACTTCTAAAACTCACATTATCTACTTTCTCGGCCCCTTTTCCCTGCTGACCTCCTATCACCATTGATAACATCATTCTTCAAGTCTCTTTACCTGGCTTATCTAAGCTACCTTTGGGCCCTCTCTCTCCCCTTTCTGCTCCATCTAGCTCCGTAAGAGATCTGAAGTTGCTTCCAATAAGACACAAATATAAGACCATTAAAACGAATAAAAAGATCAAGAAGGAAGGGGAGAGGAAATCAGACTCCCACCTTATTCATTATCTGAGTGTTAATTCAGTCTCAGCCCCTGATCACAGGAGTTCTAGAAAATTCTGACAGCCACTAGGGTTGTCTGCCTGTGATCTTTCCCATTCAAAATGGTGGCATCCAGGGGGAGGATCCATTTTTCTTAAGGATTATTTCCATCCTTCTTTTACTGACTGCCCTCATCTGGTACCATATGTTAGTGTGGACTCCAAACTAGTCACACCACAGGCTCCCTGTAGCCACCCCTGCCTCCTGCCTTGGCCCTAGGCTCAGCTCCCGCCTTGGAATGCCCCACCCACCACTCGAAAGTGCATACCACAAGTGTCCATAGACCGTCTAATTAGGGGTTCTTTTACTCGTGCCATGAATTTACTTGACAATCTAGTGAAGACTATTCTGTCTTAGAAAAATGTTTTTACAATGCATAAAATAAAATACATAGGATCACAAAGGAAACCAATTATATAGAAATACAAAATAACGAAATATTCTTTAAAGTCTGGGATACAGTAAAATACTTATTAACACATTCTATAACAAGATTTAGTGATGGGCCTAATAACTATTTCCATTTTGAAGCAATGATGAACATAAATGCTATTTTGAAATATTCACAGCAGCTGTAATATATGAAAATACTGTGATTTCTAGTGATAACAAAGTCACAGGTACATGTAATACTACTGATTGGCTGCTTACATTCATAATTGAAGGAAGTACTATATTTAGTGAGGGGTTATGAAACTAAAGATAAAATTATTTTCCATTCCAAATCCTGTCTGCTCCACTGCTGCATCTCCAACTCTGTAAGGAAGTGGTGGTACTATGTACTCCTTTTCCCTTGCTTTATTCTTCAAGTAATCAGTACTGGTCTGTCTTCCAGAAGGTTAATACAGAAGGTGTGCCTGATCATGAATGTAGGTTCTGAGTCTGTGCTGACCTACCTGACACTATGTCACTGTTGAAGGATAAGGCATAACGCTCATCAAAAACAAACAACTTCCCTTTGTAAAAACCATCAGGAAACTCCTCCAGGTACTTGTGGATGCCACCCTTGAGCTGGAACACTTCCTTGCACACTCCCTATGTGTGGAAACACAAGAGGAAATTTGAGGAGACTAGCAGAGACCAGTAGGAAGCTCCACAGAGGAGCAGCATGTGGTAGGAATGCTGAAATGGGGCTCCTGGCTCCCGCTGCGGGACAGTGAAGAACTGCTGACCCAGGCGGCAAGGAACCAACTGGCAGATCTTGCCTACTAGGGTGATGGGTGAGGACAGCAGTCAAGGCCTTCACTCTCTAGATCCTGGGAAGCCCAACTATTTTTGCTACTCCCTAAATATAGGAAGACACCTGTTGGGACATGTAATGTTACTGAATTTGCTCTTCTCAGGATCAAGCAAAAGGATTAAGAAAAGGGAGATATCAACTAATCTTTCCCTTTTGTACTTGATGAGTCTCTAAGACTGTTGAGTGCTTTTCACATCTTGAGATTTAAGAACTTCAGATTTTATACTTAGAAACTCTATGCTGGGGAGAATAAATCCCTGGCTGGCTGGGCGTGGGAGAGGGAGTGAAGGTGGGGATTGGAAAGTTCCACACACGCTATGGGTGGGGCCTTCTTCATTTCCATGCCTGCAGTGCCCTAAGGGTGGTGACTCACCTTGGCTTTGAGGTAGGCTGAACCCCGCTCACAACGGATGCCCCCAGTGCAATACATCAGCACCCTCTTCTCTTTGAAAAGTTCTAGATTTTCATCAACATAGCTAGGGAAGTAACTGAATTTCCTGATGTCTGGGGCTAAGCAGCCCTGGAACCGTCCCTACAATATAGGAGCAGCAGAAAGAAAATGATCAGAAAAACATACCTGGTAAGAACAAAGCTTCTTTCTGCGTCAAACACCACTCCCCACCCCTGCCTTGGCAAGGAAGCACTTGCTCCCTGCTGTTTTCATCCCACATGCTAGCCTTTCAAACTTCAAAATCTGGAACTTAGAAACAAGGCTGGTGGGCTGTGGGTCACCCATCCAGAGACCTCAGGGGAACTGGAGAGGCTGCCCAAAGCAAACTTGACAAGATCCTTGACACGTGTCAGGGGTAGGCATATGGGAGCCAGAACGTCCATTATGTGCCAAGATGTCTTTAATCCATATTTTCTTAGACTTTCTCACCAGATTCTGAGTTTGAAGTCTTGGGTTTTCTCTGATGCTGCTAGTAGTGGGAGGAGAGCCACTGACTCAGCCACAGGTGGGCGCACAGCGTCCCCTTCAGAAACATGCTATGCTGTGGGAACTCAGTTCTGGTTCTTACTTACTATTCTGCTTTCATAGAAGTTTCTACAGTCCAGTAGGATAGTATCACTTTCTTCTTGATTTGCCTGAGACAGAAACTTTTCTACTTCTTTATGAAATTCACCTGGGGGTAAATGGATTCCTTAAACCAAACAAAAAAATCAGTTAAAACAAAACAAAAACAAAACCCAGCTACAACTGGCCCAGCCCGATGACTTCCATTTGCTTTGTTTCTCCCCACCTAAACCTTTCCTCTCATAATTACAATTACATCTGAAAATGACACTATCTGATGATCATAATGAAAGAATTTAGTAATTCCATGTATCCTCACTCTCCCTCCTCCTAAGATGAGCACTGTGGAGACCTGGCAGTTTAGAAATAGAGAATTTTGCATCCTCATACTTGGCCTAACCCAATAATAAAAGCCAGACAGAAGGGATATAAACTGCCATGTGGATTTTCCGGTCCATGTTATGGCCAGTGTTCTATTGTCACTGTATATGGAGGAGCCTGGGCATGTATATGCTTGACTACAGGCTTTATAAACTGTTCTATACCAACGTCAAGTTCGAGGCTAAGAACCCTGGCACAGGCAGGTGTGAACATATGGTTATGGAACAAAGTTGGAATAAGTTTTTTAAAAATACAAAAGAGTAAGGAGAATGTGTCTAAGTTTGTGTGCATGAGTAAAAGAGAAAAGGGAGGGAGGGGCTGACAGCAGGAATGAAATATGAGAAAGAAGGCAAGAGAGAGAAAAGGATGAAACGCTAGAAGAAGGAGGAGAGAAAGGAGACGAAGAAGATGAGTAACATACAAGGAGACTAAAAGGAAAGAACCTGTCCGGTGAGGCCCTCTGCCTTCTCTACTCTCTAGGATAGAAATACTCCTGTATCTTTAGGGTCCAGACATCTCAGTAGTTTGTGAGGAACTTCTGGTGAATTTGCTTTTTTTTTTTTTTTGCGGTATGCGGGCCTCTCACTGTTGTGGCCTCTCCCGTTGCGGAGCACAGGCTCCGGATGCGCAGGCTCAGCGGCCATGGCTCACGGGCCTAGCCGCTCCGCGACATGTGGGATCTTCCCAGACCGGGGCACGAACCCATGTCCCCTGCATCGGCAGGCGGACTCTCAACCACTGCGCCACCAGGGAAGCCCAACTTCTGGTGAATTTGGCCACCATACCTCACGTGGCGGGGGGGGGGGTGTGCTCTGGTCCTTGAGTCACCACTCATGATACAGCCTGACAGCTCCGCTCAGGGGTGAATCCCAACAACCCCCTGAAACTGCTGGGTACCCAGATCGGGCTGGAGACCCAGAGCACGGCCAAGGAATCTGGACTCCTACCTGCTTAACCTAGGACTGCAGGGAGAATGTAACAAGGCCAGATTTTATATAAGTTACTGTCACATAATTACACAGTCACCAAAACAGTGGGGTGGAAAGGGAGGTTCAAAACTGTGATGAGAAGCATGGAAATCTGCTAAGACTTCTCCTTACAGGGAGCTGCAGGGAACCCAGCCTGTTCCTGCTGCTGCTATTACTGTGGCTACTCTCCTGGCCCCGTGGAGGCCTGACCAGAGAGTGACTCACATGAAGTGCTTAAAAGAAGTGCCTCCAAACAACTTGGCTCAAATGAAAGCAGCAAAGCACTGCCTGGAGCCCACTCTCCCCTAAGCTCCGGAGCAAGGTCCTGTAGTGCCAGCAAAGAGCTGTTTGTGGCCATCCTGCCTCCTGCCAAGGTAGGGACACTAAGCAGACATGGCCCTTTTTGGCCCTTTTCTCCTCATACATGAGTCTCTTTTCCCGGAAGCTTGTATCTTACTCTCATTTCCCTCTGGTTTAACTCTTAGCCTTCTTTTTAAATATTTACAAGTTAAAAAATGAACATAGAGCCAGCCAGACCTTTCTGTTTCCTGATGAAAGGGGACAATACTACCTATGAAGTAGACTTGGGGGAAAAAAAGGGAAGAAAGGAAAAAGGAAATCAAACCTGAACCTGATCAAGTCTCTAGACATGAGCTATCTAATATGGTAGCCACTAGCCACATGTGGCTAATGGGCACTTGAAATGTGGCTTGAGATGTGCTGTAATAAGGGTGACATAGATGCAGGATTTCAAGGACTTAGTATACAAAAAAAAGAGTAAAATATCTCATTAATAATTTTTTACACTGGATACAAGTTGATATAATATTTTGGCTACATTGCATGAAATAAAGCCTATTATTGAAATTAATTTCACTTGTTTCCTTTTACTTTTTAAAATGTGGCTACTAGAAAATGTAAAATTCCATTGTAGCTCACATTATATTCCTATTAGACAGCACTATTATAAATCTAACTACAGTTTATAGGAAATACAGAGGACAGAGGAACATCCCATGGAGATGCAATCAGCATTATACTGATTGTGGGAAATGCTATAAGCAAAATGATCTAATTCCTTCAAAAAATAAACTGCAGGGGAAAATAAAAGATGGAAGTAAATCTCTAGGTTAAAAGGGACTTTAGGAGACATAGTGATCAATCACAATGAGTGGACCTTACTTGAATCCTTATAGAAACAAACTTAGAAAAGTATGAGATAACTGGGAATTTTAACCACTGGCTGGATATTTGATAACATTAAGAAATTGCTGTTAAAATGTTTTAGATGTGATGATGGTTTTACAATTATTTATTTTTTAAAAAACCTTTATCTTTTAGAGATATCTACTAAAATAGTTACGAATGAAATGACATGACATCAGGATTCTCTTCTAAATGATCCAGGATGGGAGAAGGGGGTGGGGATAGATCAAAGCTGGCCATGAGTTTATAATTGTTGAAGCTGCGGGAGAGGTACACGGGAGTTCACTGTACCGTTTTCTCTATTATTTTTAATGTTTGAAATTTTTCATAGTAAGAAGTAAAACAAAACCAAAAAACCCAGCCAAACAAATGTCTTTCAACCATCTACGGTACCCGTGAGGGAGGGGCACAGAGAACATTCTAGAGCACTTGCAAACAAACTGCTTTGGTGTTGAAAGCCACTTGCTTCCTGTAGCAAAAAGCCTGTGTTTTATTCAGTTGATGAACTATTTACAAGTAATAATTACCCTCTTTCCAAATTGTTATCTTTGGAAAGAAAACAACTTCTTGCCAAACCATCACCAAAAAGAAGAACTAAGCCAAGTCACTTTAAGCAGTGAGTCTCCAATCACCGGAGCACCAAAGAGAAGAACCAGTTTAAGCACTGAATGACCCAAGTGCTAGCCACCCCACAGGTACTCGGAAGAGAGAACTCATCACAACTCTCGCTGATCAGAATGTCTAGCTTTCACATTTGTCTCTATATTAAGATTTGTCCCTATGAAGAAAAGGAAAATGTTTCTTCTTAAAACAAGCATACCAGGCTTCTTATAGGAGATCCTACTGGGACTGATCCCCATGGGCACAATCTCTTCAAACACACCAACACGCAGTTCTGGAAAACAGCAAGCTCCTCCTTTGCTGGTCTAGCCAAGGAGAAACAAAACAGAATACAGTCTTTCTCTCCAATCTCCAGGTATAAGATATTTATTCAGTTAAATTATCTGGAACATTCTACGCTCTAACTCCCTTTTCCCACTGAAACAGTTGTTCCTAATTTGAGGTTTCTTAATACTTCAGCTACCCTATTATTACACAACAGATATAATTCTTATATTTGGCACTTATTTATTGTGTATCTACCACGTGCAAAAATGTCAAATTGAAAAGGTGTTTCTATAGCAATAAGCATTTAACTATAAAACTGAAACACCACTGAGCAATTTCAACATGTCAGATTACATCCCAGCTTTTGTTCAGGAGCTACGACCTTTTCTTATCATCATCACCAGCACTAACACTAGCAAGGTATTCCCCACCACCTCTACCACCCATGATGCTAAAGCATAAAGTCACTCCAAGAAAGCAGCTCTCTTGGGAGAGCAATAGCTTTATTCCCTGTGTGGTGTGAAGTGCTGATCTGATCCCACCAGGTTTACTAAACACGTAGTGATCCTCTGATACAGCCAGGTGGTCTCTCAAATGAACAAACACGGCTAAGTTTGAGAGTTTATAGAATGTATAAGCTGTAATGTCCTTATTCTATAATAAAGGAGACCAAGGCCCATGATCACGTGGCAACGTGGTGGACGAACTGGAATGAGCATGCTCCTCCTCCTGCACTGCCTCAGGACCTAGCAAGAAAAGGGTATTCTGTCCAGCACTGCTTACTTCTCTACAGTGATCCTCTTCATAGCCTGGAGTGGGAAGAGGCACTGAAGCAGAAGCAAATGGCTCTTGATCCATTTTATGTTCAATTTCTCTTACCTTAAAATCGTCCTTACACAGATAATCCTTTAACAGTGGGCAGGAAAGCATGACTTCTACATAGAGTCTGGTGGCCAATTTGCTTCCACCCACTGTCCCATTGATTCCTTCTGTAGCAATTCGAACCTGAGACACAAGACAGTGAGAGAAAGGGAATGCAGGCTGTTCTTAGCTCGGTTCAAATCTCTGCAGGGCAGAACAGGTTCATGTGTGTCAATGAGTTTAACAGGAAAAGCGGAAACATTGCTGTGGACACAAAAGTGTTACCACACACAGGATGCTTGTAGTTTTCTAAAATGGCACACTGCCCATAGTTCAGACGAGGTACTCGGTTAACGTGTGCCCAACAAGAGAATGAAATGGATAGAACAACTGGAAAGTCCCATTTGCTATGGAGCTCCAGCTGTCCAATGGCCAAAACTTAATTCAGGTCAATAGATGTAGGATCAGGATTCAGCTTTGCCACTTACTTGCTAAGTGACCCTGAGAAAATTAATTCTCTTCTCTGAACCTCAATTTCTTCATCTTGATAAAACATGAAAAAGAATCAACAATGAAAAAACTGCTGTCCTCAAGTCCTAAAGCACAGAACACATCTGAGGGCCGGGAATGCACGTGAGCACATCTCTGCACAGTGTTGGAGGTAAAGCCCACCACTGCAAACCCACGCGTCGGAATACAAATTCCACAAGGAGGAGCTTGTGTCTCTTTTGTTCTTTGTTGCATAATCGGTGCCTAGAGTAGTACTTGCCACACAGGAGGCATTTAATATGTATTTGCTGAGCAAATGAATGTGTATCCAAATCTGAGGCTTTTTGGCTTCTCAAACCCTCTGTTCTCTTTGAAATGCTTCACTGGTTAGGGGACATTAAAGCCTGGGTTAAGGCCCCTGCCTTAAGAGGCAATCCTCTGGGGGCCCTGCAAAGTTACTTGTTATGGTACCACAAAATCCTCTGGATAATTTTAAAGATGGATCATCTCTAGACAGAGCTAGCTTTCTAGGGAAAAGTAAGTTAGTGCAACACTGTATATCATGGTATTCTCTGGAAAGAGATGTAATTTAAGTCAAGGTCTTATATTGTTACCACTTCGTTATATATTGTTATTTATATAGCAATGATACCTACCAATGCATTAGAATTTGAAAAATGTTAAAAGCTCCCCTTTTATTAGGGCCTAGAGAAGATACTTCATTTGTTGCCTCACTTGATTCAATTCTTTATGGCATGGATATAAATGGGATTCATTTCACAAGCCAGGGCCAACTCACTAGTAGTGGCTCTCCAGAGTTCCATGATGAGCATTCTGAGTCACATCCAGGCTCCTTGAGAAAGAGGAGTGCAGTCTACTGAAGCCTGTTCTGGGCTTGGAGAGGAAAGTAGGAAGCATATGCCATCTCTGCTGTATGGACTACTGCACCTATTACCGACTCGTATTTTTTTAAGGGACAACATAGAAAAATACAGCTGAACCAGCGTAAGGTTCAGGAAATCTACCCTAAAACTGTCTCTGATGGGGGCAAATATGATGAAGAGGTACATACGTCTGTGTACCTGTCTTCTAAGTAGGTCAGAAGACCCTTTCCTATGCTATTTTACTCTCAGAACCCAAATAAAAGACAAGCACAGGCACTCCCTAAATAGCTGAGGCAGAGCAACCTCTAAACTCAGGCACTAGACTTTCAACTTCTGTTGAAGGATTCTTCAACTGAAACCTTCAAAGTAGCTGCTAGGTGAGGAAGGCCTTATACCTCAGGGATGAAGAGCAATAGTTAGCATTTATTGAGTACCTAGTATGAGACAGGAACTTTATAATCCTGGAAAGTAGATATCAAAATTCCCATTTGACAGAAAAGGAAACAGAAGCTTAAAGAAATCAAGTAACTTGCCCAAGGGCACAGAGTTGGTAGGTGGTAGATCTGGGATTCAAAACCATATCTTATTGGGTCCAAATATTGCAATTTTTCCTTTCTAAAGCCTCTAATGCATCCCCTCAAATTTCTTGAGGCAGTAAGAAATGTATAGCAAAGGGATCAGAAGCTTCTTTCCATAATTCTAGAATTTTCAAGTTCTCCTCTTTCCCTACAAATGCCAACATTCTGCCAAATCTCCTACCAACACAAAACTTGAAAACTTGGCTGAAGCCTTAAAATTTAGAACTAAGATCCAGGCAAGTGCTGCCACCTTGTGGGTAGAGACCCTCACTGCTAGGTCACCTTGGGCTGGGCCAAGAATAAAAATCGGCCCCAAACCAAGGAAACAGATTGATTTCCTATTTTGTAGGCTCAGGTTTACTGTGAGAGAATATCCATCTTTCAAGGTGTTGTCTAAATAGAGATGGTGATAAACGTATGTACGCCACAAATGTTTACTGAATATTTTTTTTTACAATGAGCCAGCAATTGTGCTAGGAATTGGGTCATAGTGGTTAAAAAATAAATTTTTGCCCTTTGGGAGCTTACAGACTTAAGGAAGGTCACAGATATTCAGACAAAAGTCACAGACTGACAAGTGCTATGAAAAATCACTGCAAGAGGCAATGAAAAAGTGTATTTGGAAAACTGAATTTAGATTAAAGGTCAGGAAGGATGTCTTTGAGGAAGTGTCATTAAAATTGAGAACTGAAGATTGATTAAAAATTATGATAGGAGAACCCGAGTGGGTGTGGGAGAGTTCCTTGAAGAGAATTTTCTTATAAAAAGGCCCAAAGGCACCAAAAAAACTTTGTGGGCTCCAAGAAACTAAAAGGCTATTTTGCTGGAGTGTAATAAGTAAAGAATGGTATCAGATTAAGTGGAAAAGGCGGAAGGGGCCAAATAATCCAGGAAACTAAGGGCACGTTAAGGATTTGGGTTTTACTCTAAATGCACTGGATAGCTACTGAAAGATTGTGAGGAGGGAGGGAGGGAGATGATTTCATTTACCTTTTAAGATCATTCTGGCTGCTGTGTGGAAAATGATTAAGTGCGGGCAAGGATGGAAGAATGGAGAGTAGTCTGGAAGCTGCTGAAATGAACTAAGTAAAAGAGGGTTGGGCTTGGTTTAAGGTGGTGGAAGCAGAAGACAGAGTGAACGGAATCAAAAGATATTTTAGAGGCAGAAACGGCAGGACTTGGTGATGAACTGAATGAGGTAAAAGAAGCTTTCAGTCACTATCTATAAAACAACATGGGTTTGAAAAATATCACTGACTGATCAAATAATTGCCTTAGGGAATTAAAACCTAGGACATGTGTGGGAAACATTAGGCCTAAGACAGTACAGTGTCATAACCTGTACTGTGATCTCAGTAGAGGTGAGGTGATCTCAGAGAGAATCTAGTTCATCTCCTTTTGATTTAAAATTTTAAAATACATATATACACATATGTGTGTGTGTGTGTGTGTGTATGTGTGTGTGTGTGTATATATATATATATATATATATATATATGTAATCATCGAGGATTTGAAAAAAAATCCATAGTCCTGTCACGTAGAGATAATCACAACTAACATTTTGATATTTACCACTCTCCATCTTTTTACACACACACTTGTGGTTTTGTTACAAATATACATTCATCCTTTTACTCAACATTCTCCAAATATTTACACTCTGCTATGTGCTGAGCCCTGTTCTAGCACTGACAATATATCAATTGATTAACAAAGTTATGTACTCATGAAGCTTATATTCTACAAGGGAGACAGATTATAACAAATTAAACAAAGATTACACTCTCCAATATTAGTAAACTTTTTGAAATTCTTTCAGCAGAAGGGAATAGAAAAGTTTGGAGAAAGACAGATTAGAATTCTCAGGAGACAACATTTGAGGGGAGATCTGAAGTGAGGAACAAGCCATGTGAAGATCTGGGGGAAAAAACATTCAAGAGGGAAAGGAAACAGCAAATGTCAAAACCACAAAATGGCAAAAGACTGATATGTTCTAAGAAAATTAGGAAGCAACTTGATATCACACCTATATGTACAGTTCTATAAAATGTTTTTCCAGTTAATATATCAAGAACATTTCCCCATGCAAGGGGTCAGCAAATTATGCCTGCTTTTACATAGGTTTTACTGGAATATGGCCATATCTGTTCTTTTACATATTGTCTATGGTTGTTTTCATATTACGACACCAAGTTTGAGCAGCTTTTGTGCAAAGCCTAAAATATTTACCATATGGCTCTTTAAGAAAAAGTTTGCTGATCCCTGGTCTGTGCCTTTATGTAGTCTTATAAAACACCATTTTTTAAAAAATTGAAGTATAGTTGATTTACAATGTTGTGTTAATTTCTGCTGTGCAGCAAAGTGATTTAGTTATACATATATACACATTCATTTTTTAAATAGTTTTTTCCATTATGGTTTATCATAGGATACTGATTATAGTTCTCTGTGTTATACAGAACGTTGTTTATCCATTCCATATATAATAGCTTACATCTGCTAACCCCAAACTCCCACTCCATGCCTCCCCCAATCCCCTCCCCGTTGGCAACCACGTCTGTTCTCTATGTCTGTGAGTCTGTTTCTGTTTTGTAGATAGGTTCAGCTGTGTCATATTTAGATTCCACCTATAAATGAAATACGGTATTTGTCTGACTTACTTCACTTAGTATGATAATCTCTAGTTGCATCCACATTGCTGCAAGTGGCATTATTTCGTTCTTTTTTATGACTGAGTAGTATTCCTTTGTATATATGTACCACATTTTCTTTATCCATTCATCTGTTGACGGACATTTAGGTTGTTTCCATGTCTTGGCTATTGTGAACAGTGCTGCTATGAACATCGGGGTGTATGTATCTTTTTGGATTAGAGTTTTGTCTGGATATATGCCCAGGAGTAGGACTGCAGGATCCTATGGTAGCTCTATTTTTAATTTTCTGAGGAACCTCCATACTGTTTTCCATAGTGGCTGTACCAACTTACATTCCCACCAACAGAAAACATCATGTTAATAGCTATTTAGTATTCCACTTAAATGCCTAGCAGGAATTTGCTAATTTCTAGGAACCCAACTGGTGAGGCCTTCAAGCACAGCCTCTGAAAACTAAGTTGGAGGCAAGATGAGTCCAGTGAAGGATAGGGTGTGGGAGAAGGTGTTACCTTGCCAGTGAGGTGCAGGTGCTGACACAGAGCTGTCTGCCAGGCACAGATCCAATCAGGATCCTCCAGGTCACAGTAGCAGTAATAAAGTAGCACCTCCCCTTCACCATTGCTGTGGCCACTATAAAAAGAAAACCACAGGGGAAAAAGCATTTGAGTCTGGCATAAGGAAGACACAATTCATAAGTATACCCAGGCAGACTCAGAAGAAAGGCCTAACTCATGCCTGCCTTTGCTCCTAACTATCATTCTCCCCCTGAAATGAGAAGCAACTCCTGTCTGTATTTGCTCTAAAGAAGACAATACCTGCACTGAACTCCTTCCTTTATAAACAAGTGAGCTTACTTTGATTTCCTTGTTTAATCATCCTATCCATGAGATAGGTATTAATAACCCCTTTTCATAAGACAGCTGGAAATTTTAATCCATTCTGGCTTATACTCTAACACAAGGCAGTATCTGTTTTGAATCTCTCTCTGTACAAAAAGGTTTCACTTCCATTTTTTCATGTAATCCTGTTACCCATGAGACAGGTTATTATCATCCCCATTTTATAGCTGAATAAACTGAGCCCAATTCATCCCAGGTGAGACAGCTACAAAGTGACAGTCAAGACTGGAACACCAGTCTTCTGACACTAGAACCCATACTCTTTCTACTGCACTGTGCTGACTTAAACTAGTTATGGGACCTGGGCAGGTGTCTTATCATCCCTGAGCCTTGATTTCCTCATCTGTAAAACTGGAGGACTGAAATAAACTGCATTTCTCAAAGTGTGCTCTGAAGCTGTTCTACGAAATCACATGTCTGAGAAATCCTGCAGATAATATCTCCCCTTTGAGAGTCACAGTGAAAGCCCCTCATCTATTGAAGGCTCTGGGCAGTCCTGCAAAAAAGAACATTTTAACCTAATGCTTCCCAAACTTAATTGTCTTTAACATCTCTTTTCAACACCTGATAGCATCCTCCAGAGCTAGTGTTGTACAGACATATTTTAGAGAATGATATAACAGATGATAATTAAGGTCCCATCCAGCTCTGGAATCTGTGACTGTCTCATCAGTGCCCTCTTCATATTTCAGGGCCTAGTCTCCGAAACCTGCTTATCTATTTCAGAGCCTATCTATTTCCCGTTCTCTAAATTCCTGTAATGAATTACTGTCTGAGCCATACAATTGTAAGTGATAATTATATAGCCTGTCTCGTACCATCTGCTAAATGTTTCATGTATCCTTTTCTTTGTCTTTCTAACTAAAAAGCAGGGCCATACAGAAATGAAGAGACCACATTTGTATAGCACTTTATAGTTCACAAGTGCTCTTACCATCATCATTTTATACAATTCATATAGCAATTCTGTGAGGTAGGCAGAGCAGGCATTATTATTCCAGTTTAGAGGCGAGAACATAAAGGTACAAAGAATTTTAGTGACTAGCTCAAGTCTGACTCCAAGTTCAATTCTCTTTCTAACTTTCTCTTCCTCTTTCTGATAAACAAAGGGAACTGGCATAACACGGGTGACAAAAATGTATCAAATTTGGGCATTTTCTATTCACCAAATAGTTTAGGAATTGCTTAAAATCAGAAACCTGTCCTCTAGAATTATGTAATATTATGATTTGGTGAGGTTTTCAAAGGCGGATTTAAACTTCTAATCCTATGCCTCAGTTCTAAAACTTAACATAGGGACTTCCCTGGTGGCACAGTGGTTAAGAATCCACCTGCCAATGCAGGGGACACGGGCTCAAGCCCTGGTCCGGGAAGATCCCACATGCCGCGGAGCAACTAATCCCATGCGCCACAACTACTGGGCCTGTGCCCTAGAGCCTGCGCACCGCAACTACTGAGCCCGCATGCTGCAACTACTGAAGCCCATATACCTAGAGCCCATGCTCCGCAACAAGAGAAGCCCGTGCACCGCAACGAAGAGTAGCCCCCGCTCGCCGCAACTAGAGAGAAAGCCCGTGCGCAGCAACAAAGACCCAACACAGCCAAAGATAAATTTTAAAAAAATAATAATAAAATAAAATAAAACTTAACATACTTTATAAAACATATTCAGCTCAGAAAACCACATTTGGCAACCAAAACCCCTTTTTAAGTTCTGACATTATTCAGGGTACAGGAATCATTAACATTTCTGGGCCTTCTGATTTCTCTTTGAAAAAAATACAATTTTCTGTTCTTTACTCTCTGCCTAGAGAAGATAAGATGTAGGATGGCTTCCGAGAAACCCGGAGAACACTGTAAGCTGTGCGGGTATATGCTACTGCATAGGCTATGGTCTTCTATTATACATAGATCATGTTTATCGGCCTAGTTTAGGCGGTAGAGAAATTCTGTGCCTTAAGGATTTGCCATTTTAGTGGATGGGTGGTATCTCACTGTGACTGGAAAAACATTTTTTAAATTAAATGAAAGGTATAAAATGAAATTCTTACCTTAACAGCTCATCAGGGCTAAAGCAGCTTATATCAGGGAGCCAAGCAGACAGTTCATGGTTATGGGTAAGGTCTTCTTTGAAAGGGTTTCTTTTGTCTGCAGACTTAAGAGTCTTTGAGGTGCTCGATGTCACAGTCAGCTGCTTTAAAACAGAAGCAGTTTCATGGCAAATCTCATCAGCATGTTGTGTTGCCACATGTCTGTGGATGCTGGTCTGGTCTGTGAATAGTTGCTGACAGCATTTCCACCATTTTCCTTTATACTCAGAAGGAGGTGCTGGAAGTTCTTTAGTTTTGACAAAAAGGGCAAATGCCTACAATTAAATTTCAAATATGTCACTGTTAAATAACCTTAGGTTTCAGGCTAGAATGAAAGTCTCAGTGAAACCCCTTATCTTTCCACAGGGATTTCTAGTTTTACGTCCTACTGTTCTATAGAACTTCCTGAGAGACTGAACTTCCTCCAGAAAGGAAATGGTCAAGGAAATTATGGAGTATACTTACTATGGAATATTAAGCAGCCAGTTTTAAATTACATGGGAAAATATAATATTAAATGAAAAAAACTGGATAAAATTCGCTTATACAATGTAATCTCAACTACATTAAAAAGTACATTGAAAAAGACTGGAAAGACTACCAAAATGTTTTGATTTGTATAAAGAGGATTTAGGCTAATTGTTAAAAAAAATTTAAACAGAAGAGAAAATTATGGATGCACCGTAACTCTTTTAACCAATTCTAAATGAGCGAGCTTTTTTTGTTTCCAATATTTGCAGTTATAAGCAATGGTGAACGAACATGCCATGCACATATCTTTCTATACGTCTTTAACCATCTACTTAGAATAACTATGTAGAAGAAAGTTTTGGAGGTGAAGCAGCATAAAATTTTAAACTGTGAGAAATAGTGACTACCTGGAAAATCATACCAATTTATACACTCACCAGCAATGCATGAGGGTTCCATTTTATCCACAGCATTTTTATCAGTATTTAATTTTTATCAGTATTTTTAATACTGACCCAAATAAAAGGCAAAATAAATATCCTGTTTTTATTTGTGTATCTTTGATTTAAGGTTGAATATTTTTTCATATTGATTTGATGTTCTTTTCTAGCTTAGCTGTTAATACCTGTTGCCTGTTTTTCTACTGTGGCATTTATCTTATCTTCTTACTGATTTGTAAGTGGTTTTAGTGACCTTTTGTTGATCATAGTTATCCAAATTTGTTTCCCAGCTTGTCATTCATTTTCAACTTTGTTTATGGTGTTTTTTGATGTATAAATGGAAGTTAAATGGTATCTATGATTATCAGCCTTTTTTCAAGGCTGAAAAAAATGGAAAGAAAGGTATTTTTACATATATATATGTATCTATATATATTTTAAACAATTTTCTTAATGCATCTGAAGACTATAGTACAGCACCCAAAATTGGGCACTCTGAAGAATAACAATTATAAATATGGAGCATCACTTTTGGACCTTCCTCAGTCTGTACACAACCTTATCTGGACTGTCCCAGACTGAATCGGGTTGGGGTCGTCTGAAATTACACTGGAGGGCATTTTTTAGCCTCTCCTGCAGTTAATCCTTCTGTATAGGCAAAAAAGAGAGAGAGAGAGAGAGATGGTGTGTATGTCAACTTAAGTGTTTCTTTGTATTATACTTAGAACTAAGGTGTATGCATCCAAGGCCTCATTATCATCGAGGCCTCAAAAAGTCATGGTCCTTAAAGAAATACTATATAAAATCTGAATTTTTTCCTTCTTTCCTCCTTCGTCAAAAAGCCATCAGGCAGGCCTGAGCAAGATGGGAGGCCCAGTGTAAATGTGGCCTGCTGCTGGTCTTTTAGGGCCTTGGGAACAAAGCATTGAGGATCCAGCAGCAGCTAGGGCCCATGTGGGGTCTGTTCAAGAGAGATGCAGGCCAGGGATTCCCTGGTGGTGCAGCAGTTAGGAACCCACCTGCCAATGCAGGGGACACGGGTTCAAGCCCCGGTCCGGGAAGACCCCACATGCCACAGAGCAACTAAGCCCGTGTGCCACGAATACTGATCCTGCGCTCTAGAGCCCACAAGCCACAACTACTGAAGCCCACGTGCCTAGAGCCCGTCCTCCGCAACAAGAGAAGCCGCCGCAATGAGAAGCCCCTGCACCGCAATGAAGAGTAGCCCTTGCTTGCTGAAACTAGAGAAAGCGCGTGCACGGCAGCGAAGACCCAACGCAGCCAAAAATAAAATAAATAAATTTTCTAAAAAAGAGAGACACAAATTACTTCTCTAAGAAAAAAAGAAAGAGAGAGAGATGCAGGCCAGAGCTAGGAAGGCAGCTCAGAGGTGGGTGAGGCCTGTGTGGGGAAGGCAGGCCCTGGTGGAGGAGGCAGCTTGGCAGAGTGCAGAGCTTATTCCCTGCATACAGGGAATAAGCAAGTAAGTCAATATATTGGGACTAAATGGAGCTAGGTTCTCCACCAATATGAAAAGAAGAGAGAGGGAGTTCCCTGGCGGTCCAGTGGTTAGGACTCCACGCTTTCACTGCCGAGGGCATGGGTTCAGTTCCTGGTTAGGGAACTAAGATCCCGCAAGCTGCACAGCACAGCCAAAAAAAGAAACTGGAGAGAGAATAAACCTTGTGATGTTGGAACGGAACTGAAAGTAATGGTATGAACTCATTTGCTTTACACTGATATAAAAGTAAATATAAAAGTATGTGTATGATACATATGGATGTATGTGTATTCATCTCTATACATTCCTAGCTCTGTCCACCAGAGGTCCTGGGAGAAGCAACACCTTAGAAGCAATGCGCTCACCTAGCCCCCAGGTTTTGGTTTTTGACAGTTCTCCACTAGAAAGAACCAGGGCTCCTTGAAGAAATGTCTGACTCCAGGGATGAGACAGGAAAAATACAAGATGACCCTGAAACATCTTGTTGAATTAGAAAGTAAGGAAATGCTCAAAGAGTGATGAGGGCAAGTCAAAAAGACATAGATACTAGCTTGAAGGGGCTCCCAGCCAAATCTGAGATAATCTGAGCATCAAAATAAATATAGTAATGGATTATAGCCCACTGAATAAAATAGAATTCTTGAATACACACTGATACAAATAAATTGGGAGGAAAGAAAGCTCTTCCTTACAGAAGAATGCCAAGTAAGAAATCTAGAAGGAATGAAGCAATTAGAAAATCACCATTTAGAAACCATCACAGTAATAATTCAGCAAAGAAACATCAATGGATCTAAAACTAGTAGATGAAAGTTGGTTGAGGAACAGGCTATTTACATAGTCTCAAAGTATTTCCCCCCCAAATACTGAATAATTAAAAGGGAAAAAATAATTTTATAGCAAAGAAATCTGACAGGCACTTCCTTAATCAAGTACCCAAAATTAACATTGCCAGTAATGGGACAAATTGGCACTGTGACTGCATGACAGAACGCAGCCAGATGAACACAGCATCTCTTGCGGGGCAGTCTTATTAACAAAGCCATAACTTGAATCTAATCACAAGGAAACATGAGTGATAATCATGAGACGTTCTACACCATAACTCATCTGTAATCTTCAAAAATGTCACAGTCATCACCGGAGCCTACAGACTCCTTGGTGGGTCTAATGGCAGACTCCTGGAGGGCTCATGCCAAGAAGTACTTCCCAGCACTTCTGCCGCCAGTGTCCTTGTCCCCGTGGTGAGCCACAGCCACCCCCCACCTCTGCAGGAGACCCTCCAACACTAGCAGGCACACTGTTGAGGCTGCTCTTCTTCCTTGGCTACTGCTTCCAGAGGACACTGACCCCTCAAAGGTGAAGAAAAAGAGACATACGCTTCCATCCTCATACTCCTTCCCCCAGCTAAGTTTTTCTACCCTGTGCCACCAAACAAACAAACAAACAAAAAATGTCACAGTCATGATTTTAGGGAAAAAAATGAGAAAGTGGTCCAGATTGAACACTTATGAGACATAACAACTAAAGGTAACATGTGACCTTAGAGTGGATCCGTAAAAGACATTTGAGGCAACTGATGAAACATGAATGGAGCTGCTGGGCAGAGGGGAGATGGGGGTCCTCTGTACAATTCTGGCAACCTTTCTATATGTTTGAAATTATTGCAAAGTAACTTAAAAAAAAAACACCTTTCTGTACCCTTTGGGTTTCATTTTCAAGGAAATCTGTGTGAGATGAGGGTAGAAGGGTGGTAGATAAGAAGTTATAAGCAGAGACATCTATTCTTCATTGACATGGAGCCAATATAAGATGATTTTGCAAAAGAGGGACAACAGGTTGGAGGTAAGAAAACTAAGTCTCAATTGCACTTCCTCAACCAAGTCATTTTCCTTTGAGCTTCAGCAGGTTTAGTCAATGATCCCTAAAAATAGAATAAATGGCATAGAAGAATAGCATCCATACCACCCCTGTAACCCAATCCTCAGTAAGCCTGCAGCATTCTGGGCTGCTCTGTTCCTTCTCCCAACCAATGGAGCCCTGCCAGCTGGACTGGATCAGGAGTCTTAGATAGCAGTTGCCCTAATGCCTGTCTGTTCTCCTTATGACTAGATTTCCTGGGTTCCTGGAATTCTTCCCATATCCCTAGGTGGGAAAAGGAATCCAGCCCATCTGTCTAGGATCTGTCCTCAAGTACTCCACCATAACTAAGTGTTTCAGAGCCACACCTTGCCTATGATTCTCCTTTGCTTGACACTGAACTAAGATTACTGGCTAATGGCTCCGACTAGACCTTACCTTGAACATGGCATCAGTCTAGTATCTCACTAGCCCTCCACTCCCTGGAGGAAAACCTTGATGAGCTACTTCTAGGTATATCTACATTAACTATACCTACATGATCCTGAAACATCAACAGCAATTTTACCTTTTTCTTTGCAAATGAGTATTTCTTCTTTGTACTGACATCTAACTCTGCTTTGATACTGCTACTGGGATTGATAAGACTTGTGTCTTTCAAATCCAGGTCTGAAAACCTTAAAACACAGGCCTCCAGGTCATCTCCTTGGTCTGGTGAAGTGGAAGAAGGCATCTGGTTTGGTTCCAGCAGTGAGGCAGACTCCTTTCAGTTAACTATCTCCTAGGAAGTAAGCAAGGGAAAAACAACAACGTCCAAGTCTTTGATTACTACTTGAAGTAAACTTGAAGCTAATCAATCATGCAAATGAGCATGGGTCCAAGTAGCTCAAGCTATCCATCCATTCATTTACTCGTTCATCCAAGAAATATTTATTTAGCACCAATTCTATGCCCAGCACTGTTCGAGGCCCTGGAGATACAGCAGTGAATGAAGGAGAAAAAGTCTCTGCCTTCTTAGACCTCACTTTCCAGTGGGGAGAGAGAGATGGTAAACAAATGAATAAATTGCTTTAAAAAAATAGTCAGATGGTAAAAAGGGCTATGATGACAACTAAGCAAAGTAAGGAGACAGAGTCACCAAGGGGTTCTTTAAAACTCAGAGGGTAGGTAAAGTCTTTCTGGGGCCGTAGCATTTCAGCAGAAACCTGAATTAGAGGGCAAGCCATGCAAACATTTAGGGAAAAAGATACCAAAAAAGCACCAGGTGCAACCAAAGTCAACCAAGCTTCCTGTTAGTACCTTCAATTATAAATGTTTTGTTTTTTTTGGCCCCTAATTTTTGAGCTGGGCAAATTCCCTTACTTAGAAGAAATAACTACCAAAAGAGCCTCATTTTAATGAGCCAGAAGAAATACACAAACTGCTACTGTGGCCAAATCTTGTCAAAATGGACACAGTACAACCAACATGCTGTTTTTTTGGTAAAGCAAATGTTACAAGTGACAAATGTGAAGAACATGAAAGACTGGGGAAACCACGGGCTTCGGACTGTGGTGCAGCTGGGTGCGAGTGTGTGAACCTGGGCAGGATATTTAACTTTTCTGAGTTCTAATTCCCAAATGTGTAAAATGGAGATGACAGTATCTACCTTGCAGGACTATAGTGAGGACTGGAAAGGACTTTGTAGCCTTTGACACATATATAGTTCCCCTACCACTCTAGGCTCATCTAAGACAACACTCTCCCTCATGTATCCTATTCTGGCCATGCTGGACTTCGCCTAGTTCTGCAAACGAGCCCTGCTCTCTCTTGCCTCAGGGTCTCCACACATGCCTTTCACACCACCCCAAAATGACCTCCCCTCACTCTAAACCCTCTTTCAGTTCTCACTTTAACTTATTTATATATTCTTAATTATTATTTGTGGGGACTTTGCTATGTGCCTGACAGATAAAATAGTGATGCAGATGCAGGTCTTAATGAAACTGTTAAGGTCCTTGTTAACTTGGAGCTTATGTTATAGTAAGAGAAGAGACACTATGTAAACAAAAAAACATGAAAATATCAGTGATAAGAGCTACTGCTTCTCAGTTTTCTTTGTTGCGGATCCTCCTTATCATCCCAACCTCTAAATGTTCAATCACTCTATCTACACTCACCTTTGAGGTGATCTTCATCTAGTCCCAGGGACTTATAAAACTATATTCAGAATAATTGGGCAAGGGGAGATAATATAGGTAAAAGTAGATGGGACATTAGCTGGTAATTGCTGAAGCTGGTTGATAAAGTCCATGGGGGTTCATTATATAAATTCCTCTACTTCTGTAAATGTTTGAAGCTTCCATGAAAAAATTAAAAATGGAAACAATCGTAAAGGAAATTTTATGTTTAGAACACTATACGCTAGATGACTCCAAATTTATATCTCCAGGCCAGGCCTCTCCCCTGAACTCCAAATTCATATAACCAATGTCTACTGGATGGCTTCAGCTGGAAGGCTAGGAGGCTGTTCAAATGCAACTGTTAAAACCAAACTCTTAACTTGCTCTTCCTCAGTCTTCCTTACCTCAGTAAACAATTCCATTCTTCTTGTTACTCAGACAATAAAACTTTGGGATTCTCATCTCCTTACTCTTTCAGACTATTGAAAAGCCTATCAATTCTGCTTTTGAAATACAATGACATCAGACCACACTGCACCACCTTCACTACCAACCTCATTCAAGCCATCATTTCTTGACTGAATTACTGCAGTTGCCTAACTGCCCTGCTCCTGTAGAAGCTACAGCGGTAACTATTAAAAAATAAGATCGCCCTCCAAAGGCTTCTAAATGTACTAAGATAAAAGTCCAAAGTCCTTACAAAGCCCCTTCCACCACCTCCCTAATATTATCTTCTCCCACTTTTGCTCACTACCTCTGATTGCACTGTTTGCTGGTTCCTGAATGGGTCATCAGCACTGAGAAAGCAGGGGTTTTCCTTTGTTCACCTCTGCATCCTCAGCATCTAGAACACTGCCTGGCACTCAGTAAATATAACATATTTGTCAAATTAAATAAAGAGTGATTGGGTGGCCAGGGAAGCCTTCACCAAGGGCCTGATGTTTGAGCTGAGACCGAAATGACAAGGAGCCATCCATGCAGACTTAGGAGCAGAGATATTAAGACAAAGGAAATAATGAGTATAAATTCCTCAAGTGGGAAAGAGCTTGACTTACTGGAGGTACAGAGAGAAAGTCAGAGGGGTTGGAATACAGTGATGAGAGAGTAGAACCCTGTAGGAGAGGTTATGGAGGTTTTTTTGCCACGGAAAGCTGTAAACAAAGGAATAACGTGATCTGCTTCTGGATCAGTTCGGAAAGTAGAGTCGGCAGGGTCTACCGATAGATTGTTCCGTAGGAACAATCCTACCTACATTTTTGGATTAAGCAATAGAATGGATGGTGCCATTTACTGAAATGGGTAAGACGGAAGGAGGAATAAGGCCAGGAGAGTGAGACATAAGTTCCTTTTCAGACGTGTGAAATTTCAGATGGCCATGGACAAGGCAGTTGGATAAGCAGCTGTGGTGCTCATCAGAGATGTCAGGGCGGGAGATATTCACATACACATATGGAGGTATCCAATAACTACTGAAAATATTACTAAAGCAATCACCCGTTCCTTCCTAAACAACTCGGAGGCGCGAGAGGTCAGATGACGGCGAGAGGGTAGCCCCAGAGTTGCAAGCTCACACTAGGGAGGGTCTTTCTGTCCCCGGGGCGGCTAGAGCGGCGCTGCCTCCCACCCGGGCCCCACCCCAAGCGCCAGGCCTGGCCCAATCTCTCCGCCCAGCTTTCCCAAGCCGGCAAAGGCCCGGAAGTGGGAGAAGGATGAGCACGTACCCGCCTGTCCTGATCCTTTCTTAAATCTTTCTTCACGGAAATGTCTCCGCCTAGCAACTGTCACCGCTCACTGCCCTCGCACCTCCAGCCCCAGCCTGTGTTTAAGTAGGAAGGAACGCCGGGGACCTCACCTAACTCCGGAAGTCTAGGCCGTTAGCGAAAGGGCCGCCGGGAAAACCTCCGCGAGGCCCGAAGTGGAGGCGGGGACTAGAGCGTCCTTCCTAGACCATTGGCCGCCTGGCGTGGCTCGCGGCCGACGGGCTCGGGCTGGCTGAAAAGGCGGTGCTCTCCGCGTGACCCCGGAAGGACTTCGAGGGAAGGCGGGCGAAGGAAGCAGCCGAGAGGCGGAGGTAGCCCGAGAAGGCGGTTGCGTGCGGACCAGGCGCCCGCGGCCTGGTGACTAGCAGACACCGGCCCTCCCGGATCCAAACCCGCAGAGCCACCAAGCCACCTCTCCCTCTTGTGCTTCCGGGAGCCGTCGCGAGCGAGTGCGCCTCACCACTGTCCTCGAGCCGGCTGGCTGCCCGAAGGTTCCTGCCGCGCTTTCCGCCCGGCGTCTCGGCTCAGCGGCGCACCGGCGTGCGGCATGTCACGGCGACGGCACAGCGACGAGAACGATGGTGAGTGCCCAGGGCTCGGCCGCCGAGGCCGCGCCCAGGAGGGGTCGAGCTTTGGCTTCTTTGGTCTTCGGGTCTCGAGCGAAGGGATGGGAAGCTCTTCCCTCCGGGAGCGTTCGGGGAGCCGCGGAGAGAAGCGGGTGGTACAGCGAGAGTGTGGCCGGGCGACTTCTGAAAAGCCCCTGCTTCTCCCCACCCCGCCTCCTTCAGTCGTCGGCCGAGGAGCGGCCTGGTGGACCCCTGGTCTCTAAGGACTCTTCAAGATTTGGCCCTTAGGACCGCCGAGCAGGGAAGTACACCTGTGTCTGTGCCGCCGCCTCTTAGGGATAGTGATAGGGACCCACTCATACCCGTGTCTCGTTTTGACCCTCAAACTGCACCTAAAAAGGGCTCTCAGAAGACGAGAGACCTGATGAATCGCAATCTGAGCTCTCTCCTGTACCGGTCATCCGTCGTTTTGCCTTTTTCAAGCGGCAAGGAAAGAAATCGGTTTCTTATCCACACCCAAGAGGTCTCTAAAAAAAAAAAGATGTACGTAGGTTGTTGTGTTAGATTTTGAACTGGCCGTAAGCATATTTCCCTCGTGTAAGAAAAAGTGCCGGAAGACTGGAGAGCTTGTAGAGATTTAGATCTAAATTCCCATCTCCATTTGCATGGTTGCGCTCATGGGGATCATGGAGTTGCCATCATAAAAACCAAGAATAATTTTGCTAGTTAAAAATAGAAAAGGTGCTTACATTACAAAAATCAGCCAAGAGCACACATCCAAAAAATGAAAAACTAACAGTAAATCTGTTATTAATATTGTAGGGTATTGTTCTTTGAAAAGAGTGTAGTGTAGTGGTTAAGAGGCCAGACTTTGGAATCAGAGGGCTTAAGTTCAAAGCTGGACCCTGCCATTTACTTTGTGATCTTGCCCAGGTTATATCATCTCTTTAAACCTTAGTCTGTAATATAGAAGTAATGATACGTACCTCTCGGTTTTGTGAGGATTAAATGAGGTAACACATGTGACTAACTGCTCATGATGGTGTGTATTTTATCACCTGTTAATACTTAAGAGGTGATTAAACATTAGCAGATGTCGACAATGTAAGAAAAAGTACAGAACAGAACATTTGAATTAATTTTCTCCACTAACATTTTTCTCTCCTTGAATGTTGGGGCACTTTGGGACAGGAGCAGAATCCCACTAATTTAGTTTTAACAGTGAAATATCAGATTTCTGCTAGGGCATGGCTTGAGAGGATATTCTAGTTCAGCTTTCTCATCTGACACTTAAGGGTCTAAAATTTTAGTGTAATTAACATGGAGACACGATTAGCAGTGCCCAGGCACCAGTGAAAGCAAGTCCAAGGTTCTTGTCACTACACAGGTATTACTATGCTGCATGCTTTGATTTTTTTTTTTTTTTTTTTTTTTAAAACACAGGAGGCTTCTTGTATAATGTACATACAGGGCACAGAAAATAGTTTTCAGGTGCTTTGCCTTTGATTAATTAAAAACTTAATCTCCTAGAAGTCATCACTTGGGGTTTGGAGAAGTGGAGGCTTTTAAAGTTCTTCCCATTTTCTTTGCTCTTCTCATGCTTTCTCTACTCCTCTTCTTCTCTCTTCTAGGGCATCCCTAAAGGGAGAGACAATGTTTCCAAGGGGCAGCCTGGAGAATTGGATGTGAATATGTAGAAAAACAACTTTGGCTTTGGTTATTGGGATGCTGGCATAACTTTCTTAGGAGTTAGCTTCTGGCAGCTAAATCACTGTCCATTCGGGTCTTGCTGCAGGAACCTCAGAATAAATACGTAAAGACAAAACAAAATAAGGAGTTAATTAACCAGAGTTTACTATGAATAATATAGTAGTTGAGGGGCAGTTTATAGTCCCTCTTAGATACTACACCAAGTCTGGAACTTTTGTAAATTGCAAAAGTTTGGGTAATGAACAGCTAGGGTTTATCCTAAACAGTGATCTGAATCAAATATTTTAGATACTTTTCTTTTGGTTAAGCATCTACTAATTTTTTTAAAAACCAGAAATATTGGAAGCTTAAATACTGCAGAAAGCTATTTTAAAATAGGCTGAATTATTATTGTTGTATTAAATAGATGCATCTGAGCATTTCTGGATTATTGTCAGCTCTTAACAGTCACTGACTGCCGTGGCTTTTCATATGGCTTGACTAGATATAATAATGTATTCAACAAATATTTAACAGTGCCAGGCACAGTTCTAACTACTGACAGTACAGCAGTGGACAATATAAAGATTCCCTTTTACAGGCAGAAAACAATCAAGTAAATATAGTGTATCATATGGTGTTAAGTGCTATGGAGAAAAAGAAAACTGGGTAAAGAAAGTAGAGGCTGCTGTCCGGGAGGAGTTGCCATTTTGTATTGGTTGGTCAGGGAAGGCCTCACTGAGAATCGCATCTGATCAAAGACCTGCAGGAGGTGAGGGGGAAAACCACATGGCAGTGTGGGGGAAACGTAGTAGTCTAAGCAAATGGAGCCTCAAGTGCAAAGGCTTTAAGGCTAGAGTATTCCTATCATCCTGAAACAGCAAGGAGGCCAGTGTTGCTGTAGCAGAGTGAGTGAGGGGGAGAGTTGTAGGAGATAAGATCTAAAGGGTAGCAGAGGATCAGCTCACAGAGGGCAATTTTAAAATTGTATCTCTGTGCTGAGACTAGAGTGTCCTTGATCCAAGGAGATAAGTTCCGGAAGCTATACCTAGAGATGGATTTATAGACAAGGAAAGGAAAGTCCTAAATGGAAATTAATGTGTATGGATACTGTTCCAGTGCTAAATCTGACTCATTTCTTAGGCTCTTTAAGAATGTCTCTGAAGCTTTTCAGTTATTTTGGATATGCATACAATAGATGTTCAATATATTGCTTTGTTCTTTTAAGAAAGTTTTTAGGTTGTCCATAATCTTGGCCAAAACCCCATATTAGTCCCTTTTAAGCTACTTAGAATTAGGTCTTTACCTTTTAGATGGTGACTGTTCTTTTACCTAACTATAGAAAATAAAACGAATAGAAGGGGCTTCCCTGGTGGCGCAGTGGTTGCGAATCCGCCTGCCAATGCAGGGGACGCAGGTTCGTGCCTCGGTATGGGAAGATCCCACATGCTGCCTAGCAGCTGGGCCTGTGAGCCATGGCCGCTGAGCCTGCGCGTCCGGAGCCTGTGCTCCACAACGGGAGAGGCCACAACAGTGGGAGGCCCGCATACCACAAAAAAACAAAACAACAACAAAAAAAACCGAATAGAAGTGAAGGGATTTGTAATTCTGACGAAAAGTATAGTTTGTTTCAGAAGTGATGGTTAGGGCTTCCCTGGTGGCGCAGTGGTTGAGAGTCCGCCTGCCGATGCAGGGGACACGGGTTCGCGCCCCGGTCTGGGAAGATCCCACATGCCGTGGAGCGGCTGGGCCCGTGGGCCATGGCTGCTGGGCCTGCGCGTCCGGGGCTCCGCAGTGGGAGAGGCCACAGCAGTGAGAGGCCCGCGCACAGCAAAAAAAAAAAAAAAAAGAAGAAGTGATGGTTACTTCTTTTAAATCTGCAGGATCAAGGTGCTTTACTTTTCCCCTTCCCCTTGTTGTTATTGTTACTTTCTCTTTTACAGAGTTGGTTTTTGTTTCCACTTTGTGGGTCTAAAATTTTTTATAGTACATATAATTCTAAATAAGGATATAAGATGTGTAGTACAGTGTATCCATATAGAATAAGGATCACCTTACAGGCTAAAAATTATTTGGTGTATTAAGATTCTTTCTGATGGTTTTTTTGTTGGTTTTTTTATTTGACTGCATTGGATCTTAGTTGCTGAGCATGGGCTTTTTCTAGCTGCGGTGCTCGGGCTTCTCTCGTTGCAGAGCACAGGCTCTAGGCGCACAGGCTTCAGTAGTTGTGGCATGAGGGCTCAGTAGTTGTGGCTCGCGGGGTCTAGAGTGCAGGCTCAGTAACTGTGGTACACGGGCTTAGTTGCAGTCTTCCCAGACCAGGGATCGAACCCGTGTCCCCTGCATTGGCAGGTGGATTCTTAACCACTGTGCCACCAGGGCAGCCCCTTTCTGATGGGTTTTAATAGAGACTTGCTTCTCTCTTCTAGCCAAGGGTGTCAGAACGAAGTGCTTATGTGTAGCTTTAATTTACATTGTAAAACTTCTACTTAGTTAACGTGTTAATATAAAATTTGTTGTTGTTTTGGGAGCTACCTTAGATATGCTTTCTTGAGGGTAGGTGAAAACATTCAGCTCATTCCCAAGATTTTATTCTTCATTAAAGTGCTTTTTTCTACTTCCCCATGCTCTTGCCCACATTCTCTTGAGTTCAGTATCCTGTTACTGTGCATGAGTTCACATTGTGTCTGTATGTCCCCCTCCCACCCCTCTTTATATTCTCTCCAATATCAGGTGAGTGTGGGGCATCTCTTACTTCTTAATATTCTTTCTGCCTTTTCTCATTCTCCAAGCATAGTAAAAATGAGAAGGAGAAAAGAAGAGTTACACTTCAGAGATAGGACTGTATACCGTATTTTCTAGTTTTTCTTCAGAAATCCTACCTTCTCTCCCCACAGCAGTATTTTCTTCTTTTCAGTCTTACAAGAGGGCCTAGGAGGGTTGCTTTAAAGACTGGGGTATAATTCTAAACTGATTTGAGAACAAGCCAGCTGGATGGTTAATTTAGAGAGGGTGTGGAGGTGGGATGTGGGATAAAGGGTTTTGGCAAAGTAGATGGGCCAGAAAGAAAGGAACAATGGTTAAAGTTTTTTAAAAAACCTGCTCTCATTCAGCTAGTTTTTTAGCATCTGCATTCTGCCAGCCTTACCAGAATCTGTTTCTGAAGAACATTTAGTATATTCTGCTTTCTAAAACAGAGTTTCTCAACATCAGCACTGTTGCCATTTTGGGCTGGATTATTCTTTGTTGTTGGGAGTTGTCCTCTATGCAATGTGGTATGTTCAGTAGAATCTCTGGCCCCTGCCCACTGGATGACAGAGTTGTGACAACTAAAAATGTCTCCAGAGATTGCCAAGTGGCTCCTGGGGGACAAAAATCCAACCCAGTTGAGAACCACTGCTCTTGGAGAAGGCTATTTTAATGTCCTGGCTGATAGCTTATATAAACATCGCATCAAATATGTCATTTTTTTCAATGAATGAATCCTGGAAATAGAAGTCCTTTGTGTCGAATTTGGCTCTTGGGGTGGTGGAACCTTTATAGAGATCCTGTGACTTCAGTTTAATGTATATTTGAGAATCAAGGTCACTGATCACACAATAACACACATGTCCACAACTTTACACGGATACATATCTCCAGGAATACATCACAGCTGTCATGGTGCATGTGTATTATATTTTTATGGCATTATCCCTTCAAAACTATCCCTTCAAAATTCAGTGGTTATTTAAACCAGATCCTAATGATAATTAAGGGGCTGGGGGGGGGGTCAAAGCACACAGTGCTTTGCCCTATGGCCTTTTATAATACTTTGTTTGGTCCTATCTAGATAGTAATAGATCGGTTTTATTCAGCTTGAGTTCAGGTGGTAGGTAACTGAAGATCATTTCAGACATTGGAAAAAATTTTAACACCCCAAGCTTAGAATAACCAAGTGCTGTGTTTTATGAAAATCATTGTATTTTTCAAGCCAAATGTTCCAGTGGCAAGTAAGTAATTATGAACTCTGTAAAAATGGTTCAGTTCCTTTGGCTGTACAAGTCTGGAGAAGATTAAAAATATAACTTGCCACTGGATAATCCTATATCTGCAGATTTTCATTATTAATACAGATCTCCAACACAGTTACAGATTATTGCTTCCTTGTTCACATGCCATCCTAATAATCTAATTGGTGGAAGTTAAAAATTGAATTATACCGGGAGACTAGCCAACATTGTGTGCAGCAACAGCATCATGTTCCATATTTAACACCTTATTTGAAATTTTTTCAGCTTTATGTTAGTCCGCAAAAGGATATAAGGTGGGTATGTTGAGGTTTTAAACAAAATATTGGTAGTAAGAGATCACTAACAGCAAGACCGAAAATAGACAGTCCAGTGCTTAAGGATGATTTGTAGCACAGCTTCATTCAAATTGAATTCTTTAGTGACCAAAAGGACAGAGAGAAGACTGCTAATGATTTCAGAATGGTAGTTTTTACTTGTTTGCACAACTCTGAATGGCACCGTTTTTGAACATAATAGGATCAGTAAAGTACGGAACCAAGAGCTGGTTAAAGCAGGAAACCATAAAACATATACCTTTTCCCCACCGATTGTTTGATACAGTACTCAGGACTTTTCTTTGAGTATGTCGGCTGATTGTAATTCTCACTGGGATGAACTAGACCCTAGTGCTGCAAGGTCTGTAGGACCAAAACCGTTAATTGAAGAGTTAAGAGCTCAGACATTTGTGAAAACTAGTGAGGAATCCTAATGTTTTATGCTCCCTTTCCCATCTTTTGAAGTGTTCCTCTTCATACCTTTCTTTTTTAAAAGCTTTTCTTCCCCCTAATCAAGTCTTTTCACAGATTCAACTTGGTTTTTACACCCATATTTCATCAGTTTGCATAATTTTCATTATTAAAATAATGAGTACTACTGGCACCGACAGGTTTCAGGAACAAGTGACTAAGGATGAATAAACAACTCAAGTTCAAAGAATGGGAATAGCCATACATGAGTGTTACAGGGGGTCTTCTAACTGCTAGTGGTTAGCATGTTATGGGCACCTTTGCTGCCTATCCAGAGAAATGGACAGGGCTGCTGCATTGCATTGCTCCATGGGGGCACAAAAATCACAAAATTTAACATAAATAATGCTTCCTGGAATTATTGTGGTGCCACTGGGTATGGAGACTGTTGGTTGATCTAGCCTTGTCTGAGAAGTGGAGGGTCAGTTAAGTACTTCTACTGTGTGTAAATAGTAGGGCTTCTGGTACAAAAGTGATTATAGCATTAAAAAAGTTAACGTTTTTTGATAACAGATTCATCGTGTAATGTTCACTTTTTTACATTGTTGAAACAGGGGGACAGCCTCACAAAAGGAGAAAGACCTCTGATGCAAATGAAACTGAAGATCATTTGGAATCTTTAATATGCAAAGTAGGAGAAAAGGTATGATCAAAATAGGCAGAGACTGTGATGGGCTTAGGGTTGTAGTTGACTGTGCTTGATTAGTTTCTGCATCTGCAAACTCGATGATCTAAGTTGTGGGCAAAGTTTGTATTGCCATATATCTATATCCCAAAGTAAATGCATATTAAAAGCCTTGGAATGCAGAGAGTTAAATGTTATTAGTAATTTTCATAGAATATGAATCTTAGAAGGGACCTTAGGGAATAGTCCACTCAATTTAAAAGTGAAGACCAGGGGCTTCCCTGGTGGCGCAGTGGTTGGGAATCTGCCTGCCAGTGCAGGGGACATGGGTTCGAGCCCTGGTCTGGGAAGATCCCACATGCCGTGGAGCAGCTGGGCCCATGTGCCACAGCTACTGAGCCTGCCCTCTGGAGCCCGTGAGCCACAACTACTGAAGCCCGCGCACCTAGAGCCCATGCTCCACAACAGGAGAGGCCACCATAATGAGAAGCCCGCACACCACGGCGAGGAGTAGTCCCCGCTGGCCACAACTAGAGGAAGTCTGTGCACAGCAATGAAGACCCAATGCAGCCAAAAATAAATAAATAAAATAAATAAAATTAAAAAAAAAGTTTTTTAAATGTATTAAAAAAAATGGAGACTGAGGAAGTTCTGGATAGGTGAGGTAATTTGCCCAGTCATACAGTTAAGTGAATTAGTTAGAGAAGTAGAATAGAACCCAGAATGTCCTCCCATTTCTAATACTTGTTTTGCTGTCTTAGATTGCTTTTTTAATTTTATTCGTTCTCTTTTCATGGTTTTCTAAAGAATAATAACAACCTGAATTTATTTATACTAACCTGTCAGTGCCTTATGCGTAACTTTTTTATCGTCACCTAGAAAATTTTAATGCACTAATTGCTGAGTACTTGACAGATATTTAATATGCTGTCCTCTACAGAGTGCCTGCTCTTTGGAGAGCAACCTAGAAGGCTTGGCTGGCGTTTTGGAAGCTGATCTTCCTAACTATAAGAGCAAGATCTTAAGGCTTCTTTGTACAGTGTATGTATACAAAAGATTTATGAATCCAGGTGATAATGTATTATCTACTCTTAAATGCTTGTGAATGTTCAGAAGATGTGTTTATGTTCCATATGTCATCTGCTTTCATTCTGTGGGGAATTTGTCAAATGAAATGACCTTTTGCCCTTTGGTGAACTATTAGCGATAAATAGGATGAAAATTGAGCATTTTCTTTGTTTCGTTTCTTGGATCCTTAGAATCATTTGAGTCGACTACTTTTAAGTGAGAAAGTAGACAACTTCACATTCAGCGATTTTCTTTTAAGCATGTACAATTAAATATATATAATAGAGTTTAATTTATACTTTTAATCAGTAGTATCTAACATATTTGAGAACCAGTCACTCGAGTAACAATAGCCCTTCTTAGAAGGCTGAAGATACTTTTGAAGCTATGACATATAATAGGCATAATCTTTCTCTGAATTAGGTTAGCTAGAACGAGTATCAGCGTTTAATTTGTAAGGACATTAGAATGGGAAAAGTCTCACATGAAATCATGAAACAGTGTCTCCCAACAGTGGAATTAGCAATCCAGACTTACTCATCACTCAGGTGGACATTGGTCACTCTAAACTGTATGCTTTGCAAAGGAATATCTATGACTTCTGGATAAAGGAGTCTTCATTATGAAGGTGCCTTAAAATGTTATTTCAGTTATTTTAAAATAATGGGTTTTTTAAATTGCTTACAGTTCAGTTTTGAAATTTAAAAATGTACATACAAATTGAAACTATCAGTGGATTTTACTTTAACATCTCATAAAGTACAAATAATTTCAGATACAATTTTTTGAAGGAGTCTAGTTAATATTCAGGAAGACATGTCCTTAGACTAAGAAACTTAATACTAAGAAAAGTTATTTGGCTATAGCTATCCGTAGATTCCTTCTGTTCTGAAAGCATTTATTAGAATAGAGTAGATTTATGCTTAAACTCTGATGGAAGCCATGACTTTGAAGCAGGGGAGGGTTGAGGAGGAATGGTTATTATCAATGCAGTTATTTTTTTAAAACCTAAATTGTCCCTAACACTCTTCGCTAGGAACCTTGGGAAAATGCAAAAAGTATAAGAGAATCTGAACAATCAGGAGTGCCCATTTGCTTTTCTTTTTTGAGCTGATTTCTAAAGGCTACCTAAATTAGGGATCAACATTTGCTTTTTTCAAAGATTTATTACTGTAATCCTCTTCTCTGCTTTTCAAATAACTTTAAAGAAAATTAACACACTTGAGTAAGCAAACTGGATGTAAAGAAATCTTACTATATCACAGTACCATGTTAAAAATTCAACAATTTAACTGATAGGAACTGGTTTTAGTTCTGAATTTTTTCTAAGCAGCTAGAATAGGGTTTCTCAAAGTGAAATTCTGATCCCGTGACATTTGGTCGGCTAAGTTTAGAAATGTTGATTGCTCCATCTCCCCCTTTATGATTCTGCATTAAAGAAACCTGTTTCACTCAGCAATTGCCAGATATTTTACCATGGAAACCATTTTCTGTAGACCTGCTATTCAATTCCACTAAGCACATTGGAAGAAAAACTGGTCTAGTGTCAGTTATATCTATTTTAGTTTGATGACTTCACAATTAGAGTGTTTTACTTTCTTAACTCTTGGATTAACTGATTAGAATTAAAATGAAAAAATTGAGGGAGCCATGTCTGCAACTCTTCTCAATATTTTTGCCTTTTCTGACATAGTTTTAAAAACATAGCTAAATGTAATGCTTTTCTAAAGTTAGTAAAACAATTTAAAATTTTATATAGTATAAAATTCAGCAACTTAATGCTGTTGTTTTGGGATCTTCTTATTGTGCTGGGTTCTCAAATCAGTGCACGTCTGTTACCTGAGAAGTTGACAATTTATACAACATTAGTTGGACTACTAAATGCCAGGAATTACAACTTCGGTGGAGAATTTGTAGAAGCCATGATTCGTCAACTTAAAGAATCGTTGAAAGCAAACAATTATAATGAAGCTGTATATTTGGTAAGTTTTTTGTTTTTTTGGCTTTTGGGGAGCTTTTTGGTATGTTATGACTTAGTGTTGGGATGAAGGGGAGAGGTGAGCTACAACCAAATAATTTATCTTTTCTCTTGAAATACAGTTCCCCACTCACCACAACAGCTGCTCTTTTGAAAGCATTCTTTTTTTTTTTTTAATCTTTATTGGAGTATAATTGCTTCACAATACCGTGTTAGTTTCTGTTGCACAACAAAGTGAATCAGCCATATGCCTACACATGTCCGCATATCCCCTGCCTCTTGAGCCTCCCTCCCATCCTCCCTATCCCACCCCTCTAGGTCATCACAAAGCGCCGAACCCATCTCCCTATGCTATGTTGCTGCTTCCCACCAGCCAACTGTTTTACATTCGGGAGTGTATATATGTCGATGCTACTCTCACTTCGCCCACCCACCCCATGTCACCAAGTCCATTCTCTATGTCTACCTCTTTATTCCTGCCCTGCAACTAGGTTCATCACTATCTTTTTTTTTTTTTTTTAGATTCCATATATATGCGTTAGCATACGGTATTTGTTTTTCTCTTTCTGACTTACTTCACTCTGTATCACAGACTCTGGGTCCATCCACCTCACTACAAATAACTCAATTTCGTTTCCTTTTATGGCTGAGTAATATTCCATTGTATATATGTGCCACATCTTTATCCATTCATCTGTCGATGGACACTTAGGTTGGTTCCTTGTCCTGGCTATCGTAAATAGTGCTGCAGTAAACATTGTGGTGCATGTCTCTTTCTGAATTATGGTTTTCTCAGGGTATATGCTGAGTAATGGGATTGCTGGGTCATATGGTAGTTCTAGTTTTAGTTTTTTAAGGAACCTCCATACTGTTTTCCATAGTGGTTGTATCCATTTACATTCCCACCAACAGTGTAGAAGGGTTCCTTTTTCACCATACCCTTTCCAGCATTTATTGTTTCTAGCTTTTTTGATATTGGCCATTCTGACTGGCGTGAGGTGATACCTCATTGTAGTTTTGATTTGCATTTCTCTAATAATTAGTGATGTTGAGCATCTTTTCATTTGCCTCTTGGCTATCTGTATGTCTTCCTTGGTGAAATGTCTATTTAGGTCTTCTGCCCAATTTTTAACCGGATTGTTTGTTTTTTTGATATTGAGCTCCATGAGCTGTTTGTATATTTTGGAGATTAATCCTTTGTTTCATTTGCAAATATTTTCTCCCATTCTGAGGGTTGTCTTTTTGTCTTGGTTTCCTTTGCTGTGCAAAAGCTTTTAAGTTTAATTAAATCCCATTTGTTTATTTTTGTTTTTATTTCTGTTACTCTAGGAGGTGGGTCAAAAAAGACCTTGCTGTGGTTTATGTCCGAGTGTTTTTCCTATGTTTTCCTCTAAAAGTTATATAGTGTCTGGTCTTAACATTTAACTCTTTAATCCATTTGGAGTTTATTTTTGTGTATGGTGTTAGGTAGTGTTGTAATTTCATTCTTTTACATGTAGCTGTCCAGTTTTCCCAGCACCACTTACTGAAAAGGCTGTCTTTTCTCCATTGTATGTTCTTGCCTCCTTTGTCGTAAATTAGGTGCCCATATGTGCGTGGGTTTATCTCTGGGCATTCTGTCCTGTACCATTGATCTATATTTATGTTTCTGAGCCAGTACCATACTGTCTTGATTACTGTACCTTTGTGGTATGGTTTGAAGTCGGGGAACCTGATTCCTCCAACTCCATTTTTCTTTCTCAAGATTGCTTTGGCTATTTGGGTCTTTTGTGTTTCCATATGAATTGTAAGATTTTTTTGTTCTAATTCTGTGAAGAATACTGTTGGTAGTTTGATTGAATCTGTAGATTGCTTTGGGTAGTATAGTCATTTTCACAATATTGATTCTTCCAAACCAAGAACATGGTATATTTCTCCATCTGTTTATGCCATCTTTGATTTCTTTCATCAGTGTTTTATAGTTTTGTGAGTACAAGTATTTTGCCTCCTTAGGCAGGTTTATTCCTAGGTATTTTATTCTTTTTGTTGCCGTGGTAAACGGGAGTGTTTCCCTAATTTAACTTTCTGATTTTTCATTGTTGGTGTATAGGAATGCCAAAGATTTCTGTGCACTGATTTTGTATCCTGCAACCTTACCAAATTCATTGATTAGTTCTACTAGTTTTCTGGTGGCATCTTTAGGATTTTCTATGTATAGTATCATGTCATCAGCAAACAGTGGCAGTTTTACTTCTTCTTTTCCAATTTGTATTCCTTTTATTTCTTTTTCTTCTCTGATTGTTGTGGCTAGGACTTCCAAAACTATGTTGAATAAGAGTGGCAAGAGTGGACATCCTTGTCTTCTTCCTGATCTTAGTGGAAATGCTTTCAGTTTTTCACCATTGAGTATGATGCTTGCTGTGGGTTTGTCATATATGGCCTTTTTTATGTTGAGGTAGGTTCCCTCTGTGCCCATTTTCTGAAGAGTTTTTATCATAAATGGGTGTTGAATTTTGTCAAAAGCTTTTTCTGCATCTACTGAGATGATCATATGGTTTTTATTCCTTAATTTGTTAATGTGGTGTATCACATTGATTGATTTGCGTATATTGAAGATTCCTTGCATCCCTGGGATAAATCCCACTTGATCATGGTGATCCTTTTAATGTGCTGTTGGATTCTGTTTGCTAGTATTTTGTTCAGGAGTTTTGTATCTATGTTCATCAGTGATAATTGGTCTGTAATTTTCTTTTTTTGTGATCTCTTTTTCTGGTTTTGGTATCAGGGTGATGCTGGCTTCGTAGAATGAATTTGGGAGTGATTCTCCCTCTGCAATGTTTTGGAAGAGTTTGAGAAGGATTGGTGTTAGCTCTTCTCTAAATGTTTGATAGAATTCGCCTGTGAAGCCATCTGGTTCTGGATTTTTGTTTGTTGGAAGATTTTTAATTATGGTTTCAATTTCATTACTTGTGATAGATCTATTTATATTTTCTAATTCTTCCTGGTTCAGTCTTGGAAAATTGTACCTTTCCAAGAGTTCGTCCATTTCTTCGTGGTTGTCCATTTCATTGGCATATAGTTGTTTGTAGTAGTCTCTTATAATCCTTTGTATGTCTGCAGTGTCAGTTGTGATTTCTCCTTTTTCATTTCTAATTTTAATGATTTGCGTCCTCTCCCTTTTTTTCTTGATTAGTCTGGCTAAGGGTTTATCAATTTTGTTTATCTTCTCAAAGAACCAGCTTTTAGTTACATTGATCTTGGTATTGTTTTCTTCATTTCTATTTCATTTATTTCTGCTCTGATCTTTATGATTTCTTTCCTTCTACTGACTTTGGGTTTTCTTTGTTCTTCTTTCTCTAGTTGTTTTAAGTGTAGAGTTAGATGTTTATTTGAGATTTTTCTTGTTTCTTGAGATGAGATTGAATTGCTATAAACTTCCCTCTTAGAACTGCTTTTGCTGCATTCCATAGATTTTGGGTTGTCATGTTTTCGTTGTCATTTGTTTCTATGTATTTTTAAAATTTATTCTTTGATTTCTTCAGTGATCTCTTGGTTATTTAGTAGACCACTGTTTAGCCTCCATGTATTTGTGTTTTTTACAGTTTTTTTCCTGTAATTGATTTCCAGTCTCATAGTGCTGTGGTCAGAAAAGATGCTTGGTAGGATTTCAGTTTTCTTAAGTTTGCCAAGGCTTGATTTGTGACCCAAGATGTGAGCTTTCCTGGAGAATGTTCCATGTGCATTTGAGAAGAAAGTGTATTCTGCCACTTTCGGGTGGAATGTTCTATAAATATCAATTAGATCTCTCTGGTCTATTGTGTCATTTAAAGCTTGTGTTTCCTTATTTATTTTCTATTTGGATGATCTGTCTATTGGTATAAGTGGGGTGTTTAAGTCCCCTACTATTATTGTGTTACTGTCGATTTCTCCTTTCATGGTTGTTAGCATTTGCCTTATGTATTGAGGTGCTCCTCTGTTGGGTACATAAACATTTATAATTGTTATATCATCTTGGATTGATCCTTTGACCATTATGTAGTGTCCCTCCTTATCTGTTGTAGCAGTCTTTATTTTAAAGTCTGTCTTATCTGATACAAGTATTGCTACTCCAGCTTTCTTTTGATTTCCATTTGCATGGGATATCTTTTTCCATCCCTTCACTTTCGGTCTGTATATGTCCCTAGGTCTGAAGTGGGTCTCTTGTAGACAGCGCATATATGGGTCTTGTTTTTGTATCCTTTCAGCCAGTCTGTGTCTTTGGCTGGGGTGTTTAATCCATTTACATTCAAGTTTATTGTCAATATGTATGTTCCTATTACCATTTTCTTAATGGTTTGGGGTTCGTTTTCGTGGGTCTTTTTCTTCTCTTGTGTTTCCCGCTTAGAGAAGTTTCTTTAGCATTTGTTGTAAAGCTGGTTTGGTGGTGCTGAATTCTCTTAGCTTTTGTTTGTCTGTAAAGCTTTTGACTTCTCCATCAATTCTGAATGAGATCCTTGCTGGTTAGAGTAATCTTGGTTGTAGGTTTTTCTCTTTCATCTCTTTAAGTGTATCCTGCTACTCACTTTTGGCCTGCAGAGTTTCCACTGAAAACTCAGCTGATAACCTTATGGGGGTTCCTTTGTATGTTATTTTTTGTTTTTCCTTTGCTGCTCTTAATACTTTTTCTTTGAATTTAAATTTTGTTAGTTTGATTAATATGTGTCTTGGTGTGTTTTTCCTAGGGTTTATCCTGTATGGGACTCTCTGTGCTTCCTGGACTTGGGTGACTATTTCCTTTCCCATGTTAGGGAAGTTTTCCCCTGTAATCTCTTCAGATATTTTCTCACACCCTTTCTTTTTCTCTTCTTCTGGGACCCCTATAATTTGAATGTTGGTGCATTTAGTGTTGTCCCAGAGGTCTCTGAGATTGTCTTCAATTCTTTTCTTTCTTCTTTCTTTATTCTGCTCCTTGGCAGTTATTTCCACTGTTTTATCTTCCAGCTCACTTATTCATTCTTCTGCCTCTGTTATTCTGTTATTGATTCCTTCTAGTGTATTTTTCATTTCAGTTATTTTATTGTTCATGTCTGTTTGTTCTTTAGTTCTTCTAGATTTTTGTTAAACGTTTTTTGTATTTGTTTTTTGGTATGTTATGACTTAGTGTTGGGATGAAGGGGAGAGGTGAGCTACAACCAAATAATTTATCTTTTCTCTTGAAATACAGTTCCCCACTCACCACAACAGCTGCTCTTTTGAAACCATTCTTTTTTTTTAAATAAATTTATTTATTTTATTTATTTATTTTTGGCTGCGTTGGGTCTTCGTTGCTGCACGTGGGCTCTCTCTAGTTGCAGTGAGCAGGGGCTACTCTTTGTTGTAGTGCATGGACTTATCATTGCGGTGGCTTCTCTTGTTGTGGACCACGGGATCTAGGTGCACAGGCTTCAGTAGTGTGGCTCACGGGCTCTAGAGCACAGGCTCAGTAGTTGTGGTGCACGGGCTTAGTTGCTCACAGCATGTGGGATCTTCCTGGACCTGGGATTGAACCCGTGTACCCTGCACTGGCAGGTGGATTTTTAACCACTGCGCCACCAGGGAAGTCCCGAAACCATTCTTATTAAAGATAGAGCTCATTACCGAGTTCAGTGGCTTCTGTTAACTCAATCCTAGTTGACCTCCCTGTAACATGGATGCTTTACACTACCTGGCTTCTGCAGCACCACTCTTTTCAGGACCTCCTGCTGCCACCTACCTTCTATTCCTCAGTCTCCTTTTACTGGCTAACCTTCCTTTGCCCTTTAAATTTTTGTGTTTCCCAGAATTCTGTCCTCACTTCAGTTTTTTCCAAACATTTTCTGCTGAAGCATTCTCATTCTCTCTTATAGCTTCATAAACTACCTTTATTTTGATGACCTTCCCCCTTACCAACTCTAATCTGTATCTCCTGCTTCAGCCATTCTCCTGAGCTCCAGACCTTTGGTCCAAATACTACCTGGATAGCCCTAATGTATCTTGCCTGGAAGTCCCTGAATTAATGCATTCTTCATACCTCCTTTCCTGTACCCTCAGCCCAACCCACACAAGTGGTTGCTATTTACTGGATAGCCCGTCCAGAAACCTGAGCATTAATTTTTGTCTTGCCTTTGCCCTCTCATACTCTAAGCAGTCTCCAAGCCCTGTCTGTCCTACCTCCTAAATTTCTCTCCAGTCTGTCCCTTCTCCTTGTCTCCAGGGCCTCTAGTGTAGTTAATGCCTTCCTCATAATGTCTTAACAGCTCTTAACAGATCTTTTTGCATCCAGATTCTCTGCCTTTCACTTTATCTTCTGTAGCGGCACCAGAATGGTCTTCTGTAACTAGGCTCTGTTCATGTTGGTTACAGGTTAAAAACCTCAGTTCCTTCCCATTTTCTACAGTGGATAGTCTTCAAAGCCTGGTGCACAAGATGATGCAGGAAGTAAATATCAGAACTCTTACTTATCTTAAATGGAAATGGAATTAAGCCTTATTAATACATAACACATAGATTGACGGCCAACTTATATATAAGTAAATATTTATTTGTTGAGGTATGTGATCAAATTCTTTTCTACTGAGTACATAATCAAAAGAGTTTGGACACTCATCAAGCTATTAAGTTCAGATTCCATTAAGTCTGATCCTTCATGGTTGCCCCAGTCTTTCTCTTTGCCTCCCATATACCCTCCAGCTCTATCTGAATTACTTGCTGGTCGCTGAACACACCTTGTTTTTGAACCTTTCTGCCTAGAAGCCTCTCCTTGCTCTCCACGTGAGGACTACTTTTTTCATCCTTTATGATCTAGCCTGATTGTTACCTCCTATATGATGTTTCCCCCTACTCCCTTTGTCCCTATTTCTAGAACACTTTATCTTTTAGTATAGGATTTATCCATGTGGGTTGAGATTGTGCTTGTCCCAGTAGTCTATGAGCTCCCATGTGACAGAGACTTTAATAGTGCTCAGCAGTGGCACACAAAGGGCACCCAATAAATATCTGTTCATAAATTTCCATTTCTGTGGTCCAGCGAAAATTTTTTCACAGCCAAACAGAAAAGAAGATTTTTGGTTGTAATAGCTAGAATATTACAGTTTAGGTTCTTAGTTTAGTATAAATGTAAAGCTATAAATGCAGATTCCTGTCCTTCCTACAGTCTCTGTCACAGCTACTCAGCTCTGCTGTTATAGCACAAAAGCAGCCACAGACAACATGTAAACAAATAAGCATGGCTGTGTAAAAGTCGAATTGTGGACAATGAAATTTAATTTCATGTAATTTGTATGAATCAAAATATTCTTTTGGGTTTTTTCAAGCATTTAAATATTTAAAAACCATTCTTAGTTTGTAGGCTGCTTAAAAAACAGGCAGTGGGGGCTTCCCTGGTGGCGCAGTGGTTGAGAGTCTGCCTGCCGATGCAGGGGACACGGGTTCGTGCCCCGGTCCGGATAGATCCCACATGCCGCGGAGCGGCTGGGCCTGTGAGCCGTGGCTGCTGAGCCTGCGCGTCTGGAGCCTGTGCTCCGCAACGGGAGAGGCCACAACAGTGAGAGGCCTGCATACCGCAAAAAAACCAAAAAAAACAAACAAACAAAAAACAAAACAGGCAGTGGTCTAGATTTGGTCCTTGGGCTGTAGTTTTTCAGAACTGTGGTTTCAAACATTACAGAATTGCTTGTTTTATAATTATTATAAAGGACATTTAGATTTCATAGAAATTGTTCTCCCCACCAGGTCCGTTTTTTATCTGATCTTGTGAATTGTCACGTCATTGCTGCCCCATCAATGGTTGCTATGTTTGAAAATTTTGTAAGTGTAACTCAGGAAGAAGATGTGCCTCAGGTAAGAAAACCCCTTGTGCTGAATCTCGTCCATATAGTACGAGGAATTTTTCACTAGTAACCCTTTAGTAATAAAAACAGAAGATTAACAGTAGATTTATCACATTATAAATTCTTAATGTCTAAAAGTTAAGTCAACTGGTGTAATGGTGGGTTCTTGTGACATCTGTACATTAGTTAAATGATTCTGTCTAGTAAGAGTAAAGTTAATATATCTAAAAATGCTCTAAATGAGCCAGATGTCTTTGTTAAGTCCCACTGAATTGTGTCCATAGGATTTCATTCAGGAATAAATATAATATGAATGAAAATTCACTAGTACCTATTTTAAATGTATCTTTTAAAAAAAATTCTTTAGGTGCGCCGGGATTGGTACTTGTATGCATTTCTATCATCTTTGCCCTGGGTTGGAAAGGAGTTGTATGAAAAGAAAGATGCAGAGATGGACCGAATCTTTGCCAACACTGAAAGCTATCTTAAGTAAGGGCACAGCAGCTTGGTAATGATTTTGTGTCCCCTTAAGTTTTTTCAGAAGAATTTTGTTATAAGTTTCATTTTCTATTAATAGGTAATTCTTTGGATATTGTTAATATCTACTTAGTTACAATAAAGCTAAAGGAAGTCTAAAGATAAAAATCTGCTTTCTCATTACACTAAGGTACCTTTAAATGATTTTTTAAATGTTTTATATTTTTCAAAAGTTGTACTGTTTTTTTAGTAATATATAGATGTTTGCAAAAGAATGAAAGTAAGAGTATGAATATGCTAACATTTGAATGTCATTCCCCCTTTTTATACAAATGATAGTCCAGTATACACATTGTTATTCTATACACACTTGCTTTTTTTCCCCCTCTTAATATAGTTTGGATTCGTTGCATAAGATATTTAGCTCTGCCTCATTCCTTTTAACAGCTGTATGGTATTCCAGTCTTTTAATGTACCATAATTCCTTTAACTAGTCTCCTGTTGGTAGACATTGAGGCTATTGCAAGTCTTTGGCTATTTTAAACAGTGTTTCAGTGAATATCCTTGTACATAAGTCTTTATGTGCATGTACAAATATGTTTTGGGGTGATGTGAATTCTTAGAAATGGCATTGCTGGGTTGAAGTGTCTTTAACAATTTTAATTTTGATATTTAGTCAGATTGCCTTCCAAAGAGATTATACTCTTCCAAATGTTGTCTAAAGAGATTATATCAATTAGCCCTCTGCCAGTGATGTTTTTGAAACCGTGTATTTGCCTACATTTTGGCAATGCAATACATTATCAAAGATTCTAATATCTGCCAGTCTGATAGGTTAAAATGTTTCACTCCCTTAATTTGCATTTTATTAATTATGAAAGCAACTGAATATCTTTTCATGTTTTAAAAACCTAAATGTAGATTTTCATTCTTACCTTTAGAAGACGGCAGAAGACTCATGTGCCCATGTTACAAGTATGGACTGCAGAGAAACCGCATCCACAAGAAGAGGTAAATTGATTTCAGTCTCTTGTGATACAAGCACAGAGTAAATTCTTATCTCTGTGACATATTCAAATCATTCCATTTGTATACCTCAGCGGGGTTTTCACATTTCATATCAGGGGTTCAGCTCCTCATAGCCCTAGGCATATAGTGAATTTTGAATAAATGTTAGAATGTCATCAAAACATTCCCTATTCTTTGGGATTCCAGATATCATAGAGTTGATATATTTTTTATTTAAGTGCCCAATTTGAAAAAATAAGAGGTATCAGCCCCAGACAGACTTTATAAAATAATTAAAACTAAAACAGAAACTTAGCAGTATTCCTTAGTACTGTATTTAATTGTAAGTTAGCTTGCTTTTGTATCCTGTATTTTAGAAGGCAGTAGATTTTTGATTTTGTCTAGTCAAAATGTTATTTCATCTAGCCTCCAAATATCTATTAATTGTTAAAAATTAATCTGTCTTTAGTATTTAGATTGCCTCTGGGCCCAGATTCAGAAATTGAAAAAGGATCGCTGGCAGGAGCGGCACATCCTAAGACCTTATCTTGCCTTTGACAGCATCCTGTGTGAAGCACTGCAGCACAACCTGCCTCCTTTCACACCACCTCCTCACACTGAAGATTCGGTGTACCCGATGCCAAGGGTCATCTTCAGAATGTTTGATTACACGGATGATCCTGAGGTACATGCATGACCAACAAAAGTGCCTTTCAAAGCACCTGTGTTGTGTTGTAATTGTGGTTTAATCTTGTTTGAATTATGCCTATGGGACATTTTAATTTTGAGTTGTTTATTATCTAAGAGGGTCCGTGGCAGCGAAGTTAACAGTTTAATTCAGTGAATGGTATCACCTCATTATTCAAGAAATCATTTTTAGGCAGTGTAAATTGACAGCACGGTGTACAATTGAAGAGTGTAGTTTGAGAGGCCAAGTAGGTTTGGGTTTTAATCCTGGCTTAGTCATAGCCCAGCTGTGTGATCTTGAGTGAGTTATTTACCTCCCTACCTTAGTTTCCTAATGGAATAATAATAGTATATATCTCATAAAGTTGTAATGAGGATTAAATTATTAACACACATAAAGTGCATAGAACAGTATGTGACACGTGATGAGTGCTCAATAAAGTGTTTTTAATTTAAAAATCCCAATGATTAGTATAAGCTGACTTTATACTTCTTAAATATATATATTTTTTATTATGAGGTCAGGTTGTTGATAGCTATTATACTTTAGCAATGAAGAAAATGTAATTTTGATATTAACATTTGATATAAAAATTTACATTTTAACTGTGCTTTAGTTACTTTATACCTTTGCATTTCAATGACTGTTTTTTTGGTTTGTTTTTTTTTTAATTTATTTTTGGCAACGTTGGGTCTTCGTTGCTGCGCACAGGCTTTCTCTAGTTGCGGCGAGCGGGGTCTACTCTTCCTTGCAGTGCGCGGGCTTCTCATTGCAGTGGCTTCTCTTGTTGTGGAACACGGGCTCTAGGCACATGGGCTTCAGTAGTTGTGGCACATGGGCTCAGTAGTTGTGGTTCACGGGCTTAGTTGCTCTGCAGCATGTGGGATCTTCCTGGACCAGGGCTTGAACCCGTGTCCTCTGCATTGGCAGGCAGATTCTTAACCACTGTACCACCAGGGAAGCCCATGACTGTCTTAACTTTAATACCCAGGCAGCAAGCACAGTGATCACTGGGCTGGTTCTGAAAAGAAACTCGCCTGGCTAAAGTACTATACCTGTTGCTTAGTACATTCCAGTCAGCATAGAGCAGAGTTTCTTTTTTTTTTTTTTTTTTTAC